GTGGGTTGGTGGGTGAGTGAGTGGGTGGGTTGGTGAGTGGGTGGGTTGGTGGGTGAGTGGGTTGGTGGGTGAGTGGGTTGGTTGGTGAGTGGGTGGGTGGGTTGGTTGGTGAGTGGGTGGGTTGGTTGGTGAGTGGGTTGGTGGGTTGGTGAGTGGGTGGGTGGGTTGGTGGGTGAGTGGGTGGGTGGGTTGGTAGGTGAGTGGGTGGGTGGGTGGGTTGGTGGGTGAGTGGGTTGGTGGGTGAGTTGGTGGGTGGGTTGGCTAGTGGGTGGGTTGGTGAGTGGGTGAGTGGGTGGGTTGGTGGGTGAGTGGGTGGGTGGGTGGGTGGGTTGGTGAGTGGGTGGGTGAGTGGGTTGGTGGGTTGGTGGGTGGGTTGGTGGGTGCGTGGGTGAGTGGGTGGGTGAGTGATTGGGTTGGTGGGTTGGTGAGTGGGTGAGTGGGTGAGTGGGTGGGTGAGTGGTTGGGTTGGTGAGTGGTTGGGTTGGTGAGTGGTTGGGTTGGTGAGTGGTTGGGTTGGTGAGTGGTTGGGTTGGTGAGTGGTTGGGTGGGTTGGTGAGTGGGTTGGTGGGTTGGTGAGTGGGTTGGTGGGTTGGTGAGTGGGTGGGTGGGTGGGTGAGTGGGTGGGTGGGTTGGTTGGTGGGTGAGTGGGTGGGTGGGTGAGTGGGTGGGTGGGTTGGTGAGTGGGTGAGTAAGTGGGTGAGTGGGTTGGTGAGTGAGTGGGTTGGTGGGTGAGTGAGTGGTTGGGTTGGTGAGTGGTTGGGTTGGTGAGTGGATTCGTGGGTTGGTGAGTGGGTGGGTGGGTTGGTGAGTGGGTGGGTGGGTTGGTGAGTGGGTTGGTGGGTGGGTTGGTGGGTGGGTGAGTGGGTGGGTGAGTTGGTGGGTGGGTGAGTGAGTGGGTGGGTGGGTGAGTGGGTGGGTGGGTGGGTGAGTGGGTGGGTGGGTTGGTGAGTGGGTGAGTGGGTGGGTGAGTGGGTTGGTGAGTGAGTGGGTTAGTGAGTGGGTGGGTGGGTTGGTGAGTGGGTGGGTGGGCAGGTGGGTTGGTGGGTGGGTGGGTGGGCAGGTGGGTTGGTGGGTGGGTGGGTTGGTTGGTGGGTGGGTGGGTTGGTGAGTGGGTTGGTGGGTGGGTGAGTGGGTGGGTGGGTGGGTTGGTGGGTTGGTGGGTGGGTGGGTTGGTGAGTGGGTGAGTGGGTGGGTGAGTGGGTGGGTGGGTTGGTGGGTGAGTGGGTTGGTGAGTGGGTTGGTGAGTGGGTGGGTGGGTGGGTGGGTGTGTTGGTGGCCGAGTGCCCCCCCTCTTTGCCGAGTGGACCATAGCTTGCCAGTCTCCCTCCCCCCTCGCCCCGCTCCCCCCGCTCAGACCCCGACATCCGCTACTGCGTCCTCGCCTCGCTGGACGACCGCTTTGACGCCCACCTGGCGCAGGCTGAGTCGCTGCAGTCGCTCTTCGTCGCCCTCAGCGACGAGGTCTTCGAGATCCGCGAGCTCGCCATCTGCACCGTGGGCCGCCTGTCGGCCATCAACCCGGCCTACGTCATGCCCTTCCTGCGCAAGACGCTCATCCAGGTGGGGCTGCCGGAGGCTGGGCTCTACCGCAGGCTGGGCTAGTGTAGACTGGGCTACTGTAGGCTGAGCTCTACCATAGACTGGGCTACTACTATAGACTGGGCTACTGTAGGCTGGGCTAGTGTAGACTGGGCTAGTGTAGACTGGGCTCTACCGTAGACTGGGTTACTGTAGACTGGGCTACTATAGACTGGTCTACTATAGACTGGGCTACCGTAGACTGGGCTCTACCATAGACTGGGCTACTGTAGACTGGGCTACTGTAGACTGGGCTACTGTAGGCTGGGCTCTACCGTAGACTGGGCTACTATAGACTGGGCTAGTGTAGACTGGGCTAGTGTAGACTGGGCTAGTGTAGACTGGGCTAGTGTAGACTGGGCTCTACCGTAGACTGGGCTACCGTAGACTGGGCTACTATAGACTGGGCTACTATAGACTGGGCTACTATAGACTGGGCTACTATAGACTGGGCTACCGTAGACTGGGCTACCGTAGACTGGGCTACTATAGACTGGTCTACTATAGACTGGGCTACCGTAGACTGGGCTACCGTAGACTGGGCTACTATAGACTGGGCTACTGTAGACTGGGCTACTGTAGACTGGGCTACTGTAGACTGGGCTACTGTAGACTGGGCTACTGTAGACTGGGCTACTATAGACTGGGCTACTATAGACTGGGCTACTATAGACTGGGCTAGTGTAGACTGGGCTACTGTAGACTGGGCTACTGTAGACTGGGCTACTATAGACTGGGCTAGTGTAGACTGGGCTACTATAGACTGGGCTACCGTAGACTGGGCTAGTGTAGACTGGGCTACCGTAGACTGGGCTACTGTAGACTGGGCTACCGTGGACTGGGCTACTATAGACTGGGCTACTGTAGACTGGGCTACTGTAGACTGGGCTAGTGTAGACTGGGCTACTATAGACTGGGCTACCGTAGACTGGGCTAGTGTAGACTGGGCTACTATAGACTGGGCTACCGTAGACTGGGCTACTGTAGACTGGGCTACTATAGACTGGGCTACTATAGACTGGGCTACTATAGACTGGGCTACTATAGACTGGGCTACAGTAGACTGGGCTACTGTAGACTGGGCTACTATAGACTGGGCTACTGTAGACTGGGCTACAGTAGACTGGACTACTATAGACTGGGCTACTGTAGACTGGGCTACTATAGACTGGGCTACTATAGACTGGGCTACTATAGACTGGGCTAGTGTAGACTGGGCTAGTGTAGACTGGGCTACTGTAGACTGGGCTACTGTAGACTGGGCTACCGTAGACTGGGCTACTGTAGACTGGGCTACTGTAGACTGGGCTACTGTAGACTGGGCTACTGTAGACTGGGCTACAGTAGACTGGGCTACCGTAGACTGGGCTACCGTAGACTGGGCTACCGTAGACTGGGCTACTATTGACTGGGCTACTATAGACTGGGCTACTATAGTCTGGGCTCTACTATAGACTGGGCTACTATAGACTGGGCTACTATAGACTGGGCTAGTGTAGACTGGGCTACTATAGACTGGGCTACTGTAGACTGGGCTACTATAGACTGGACTACTGTAGACTGGGCTACTGTAGACTGGGCTACTGTAGACTGGGCTACAGTAGACTGGGCTACAGTAGACTGGGCTACCGTAGACTGGGCTACCGTAGACTGGGCTACCGTAGACTGGGCTACCGTAGACTGGGCTACTGTAGACTGGGCTCTACTATAGACTGGGCTCTACTATAGACTGGGCTACTGTAGACTGGGCTACTATAGACTGGGCTACTGTAGACTGGGCTACCGTAGACTGGGCTACCGTAGACTGGGCTACCGTAGACTGGGCTACTATAGATTGGGCTCTACTATAGACTGGGCTCTACTATAGACTGGGCTCTACTATAGACTGGGCTCTACTATAGACTGGGCTACTGTAGACTGGGCTACTATAGACTGGGCTACTGTAGACTGGGCTACTATAGACTGGGCTACTATAGACTGGGCTACTATAGATTGGGCTCTACTATAGACTGGGCTACTGTAGACTGGGCTACTATAGACTGGGCTACTATAGACTGGGCTACTATAGTCTGGGCTCTACTATAGACTGGGCTACTATAGACTGGGCTACTGTAGACTGGGCTAGTGTAGACTGGGCTACTATAGACTGGGCTACTGTAGACTGGGCTACTATAGACTGGGCTACTGTAGAGTGGACTCTAGGCTTACTGCTCGCTTAGCTGACATCACCCCCCACCCTCCCCCCCCCACCCTCCCCCCCACCCTCCCCCCCACCCTTCCCCCCACCCTTCCCCCCACCATTCCCCCCACCCTACCCCCCCACTCCAGATCCTCACGGAGCTGGAGCACAGTGGCGTGGGTCGCAACAAGGAGCAAGGTGCCAGGATGCTGGGCCACCTGGTGGGGCACGCTCCCCGCCTCATACGCCCGTACATGGAGCCCGTGCTCAAGGTGCGTGGGTGGGTGGGTGGGTGAGAGGGTGAGAGGGTGGGTTGGTGGGTGGGTGAGTGGGTGGGTGGGCGGGTGGGTGAGAGGGGGGGTGAGAGGGTGGGTGGGTGAGAGGGTGCGTGGGTGGGTGGGTGAGTGGGTGAGAGGGTAGGTGAGAGGGTGGGCGAGTGGGTGGGTGAGAGGGTAGGTGAGAGAGTGGGTGGGTGAGAGGGTAGGTGAGAGGGTGCGTGGGTGGGTGGGCGAGTGGGTGGGTGAGAGGGCGGGTGGGTGGGTGAGAGGGCGGGTGGGTGAGTGGGTGGGTGGGTGAGAGGGTGGATGAGAGGGCGGGTGAGTGGGTGTGTGGGTGGATGAGAGGGTGGGTGAGAGGGTGCGTGGGTGGGTGAGAGGGTGCGTGGGTGGGTGAGTGGGCGGGTGGGCGAGTGGGTGGGTGAGCGAGTGGGTGGGTGAGAGGGCGGGTGAGTGGGTGTGTGGGTGGATGAGAGGGTGGGTGAGAGGGTGCGTGGGTGGGTGAGAGGGCGGGTGGGTGAGTGGGTGGGTGAGAGGGTGGGTGGGCGAGTGAGTGGGTGAGTGTGTGGGTGGGCGAGTGGGTGGGTGTGTGGGTGAGTGGGCGAGTGGGCGAGCGGGTGGGTGGGTTGTTGGGTGGGCGGGTTGTTGGGTGGGCGAGTGGGTGCGCGAGTGGGTGGGTGAGTGTGTGGGCGAGTGGGTGGGTGGGTGAGCGAGTGGGTGGGTGAGTGGGCTACTCACCCACGGTCAACTCTGTGCAGGCTCTGATCCCCAAACTCAAGGACCCGGATCCCAACCCGGGAGTCGTCATCTGTGTCCTGGCTACGGTCGGAGAACTTGCACAGGTGATCGTCTCCTTCCCCCGAGTCTCTACTACACCCCGAGTCTCTACTACACCCTGAGTCTCTACTACACCCCGAGTCTCTACTACACCCTGAGTCTCTACTACACCCTGAGTCTCTACAACACCCTGAGTCTCTACTACACCCCGAGTCTCTACTACATCCTGAGTCTCCGCTACACCCCGAGTCTCTGCTACACCCTGAGTCTCTACTACACCCTGAGTCTCTACTACACCCCGAGTCTCTGCTACACCCTGAGTCTCTACTACACCCTGAGTCTCTACAACACCCTGAGTCTCTACTACACCCCGAGTCTCTACTACATCCTGAGTCTCCGCTACACCCCGAGTCTCTGCTACACCCTGAGTCTCTACTACACCCTGAGTCTCTACTACACCCCGAGTCTCTGCTACACCCTGAGTCTCTACTACACCCCGAGTCTCTACTACACCCCGAGTCTTCGCTACACCCCGAGTCTCTGCTACACGCTGAGTCTCTGCTACACCCTGAGTCTCTGCTACACCCTGAGTCTCTACTACACCCCGAGTCTCCACTACACCCCGAGTCTCTACTACACCCTGCGTCTCTACTACACCCCGAGTCTCTACTACACCCTGAGGCTACTACTACACCCTGAGTCTCTACTACACCCTGAGTCTCTGCTACACCCTGAGTCTCTGCTACACCCTGAGTCTCTACTACACCCTGAGTCTCTACTACACCCTGAGTCTCTACTACACTCTGAGTCTCTACTACATCCTGAGTCTCTACTACACCCTGAGTCTCTACTACACCCCGAGTCTCTACTACACCCTGAGTCTCTACGACACCCTGAGTCTCTGCTACACCCTGAGTCTCTACTACACCCTGCGTCTCTACTACACCCCGAGTCTCTGCTACACCCTGAGTCTCTGCTACACCCTGAGTCTCTACTACACCCCGAGTCTCTACTACACCCTGAGTCTCTGCTACACCCTGAGTCTCCACTACACCCTGAGTCTCTACTACACCCCGAGTCTCTGCTACACCCTGAGTCTCTACTACACACTGAGTCTCTACTACACCCTGAGTCTCTACTACACCCCGAGTCTCTACTAGACCCTGAGTCTCTACTAGACCCTGAGTCTCTACTAGACCCTGAGTCTCTACTAGACCCTGAGGCTCTGCTACACCCTGAGTCTCTGCTACACCCTGAGTCTTTACTACATCCCAAGTCTCTACTACACCCTGAGTCTCTGCTACACCCTGAATCTCTACTACACCCTGAGTCTCTACTACACCCTGAGTCTCTACTACACCCCGAGTATCTGTTACACCCTGAGTCTCTGTTACACCCTGAGTCTCTGTTACACCCTGAGTCTCTGTTACACCCTGAGTCTCTACTACACCCCGATTCTCTACTACACCCCGAGTCTCTACTACACCCCGAGTCTCTGCTACACCCAGAGTCTCTAAACTCTGCTGTTCGTGGTGGACTCCAGGTGAGCGGGCCGGAGATGCGCCACTGGATGGACGAGCTGTTCCCCATTGTGATGGACATGCTGCAAGACTCATCCTCCCTGGCCAAGCGACAGGTGCTGCACGCTCGCCCGCTCGCTCACTCGCCCATCCACTCACTCGCTCAACCACTCACTCGCCCATCCGCTCACTCGCCCATCCACTCACCCGCTCATCCACTCACTCGCCCATCCACTCACTCGCTCATCCACTCACACGCTCATCCACTCACTCGCCCATCCACTCACTCGCTCATCCACTCACACGCTCATCCACTCACTCGCCCATCCACTCACCCGCCCATCCACTCACCCACCCATCCACTCACTCGCCCATCCACTCACATGCTCATCCACTCACACGGTCATCCACTCACTCGCTCATCCACTCACACGCCCATCCACTCACTCGCCCATCCACTCACTCGCCCATCCACTCACTCGCTCATCCACTCACACGCTCATCCACTCACACGCTCATCCACTCACTCGCCCATTCACTCACTCGCCCATCCACTCACACGCTCATCCACTCACTCGCCCATTCACTCACTCGCTCATCCACTCACTCGCCCATCCACTCACTCCCCCATTCACTCACTCGCCCATCCACTCACACGCCCATCCACTCACACGCTCATCCACCCACTCGCTCATCCACTCACTCGCCTATCCACTCACTCGCCCATCCACTCACACGCCCATCCACTCACACGCTCATCCACTCACTCGCTCAACCACTCACACGGTCATCCATTCACCCGCCCATCCACTCACACGCCCATCCACTCACTCGCCCATCCACTCACTCGCTCAACCACTCACACGGTCATCCATTCACCCGCCCATCCACTCACTCGCCCATCCACTCACACGCTCATCCACTCACTCGCTCATCCACTCACACGGTCATCCATTCACCCGCCCATCCACTCACTCGCTCATCCACTCACACGGTCATCCATTCACCCGCCCATCCACTCACTCGCCCATCCACTCACACGCCCATCCACCCACTCGCTCATCCACTCACTCGCCCATCCACTCACTCGCCCATCCACTCACACGCCCATCCACTCACACGCTCATCCACTCACACGGTCATCCATTCACCCGCCCATCCACTCGCTCGCCCATCCACTCGCTCATCCACTCACACGCCCATCCACTCACACGCCCATCCACTCACACGCTCATCCACTCACACGCTCATCCACTCACACACCCATCCACTCACCCTCTCATCCACTCACTCGCTCATCCACTCACTCGCCCATCCACTCACCCTCTCATCCACTCACCCTCTCATCCACTCACATGCCCATCCACTCACACGCCCATCCACTCACCTGCTCATCCACTGACCCACTCGCTCACCCACTCATCCACTCACACGTTCATCCACTCACTCGCTCATCCACTGACACGCTCATTCACTCACACGCTCATCCAATCACTCGCCCATCCACTGACCCACTCGCTCACACGCTCATCCACTCACACGCCCATCCACTCACTCGCCCATCCACTCACTCGCCCATCCACTCACTCGCTCATCCACTCACACGCTCATCCACTCACACACCCATCCACTCACTCGCCCATCCACTCACACGCCCATCCACTCACACGCCCATCCACTCACACGCCCATCCACTCACTCGCTCATCCACTGACCCACTCGCTCAACCGCACATCCACTCACCCGCTTGCTCACTCGTCCACTCAATCACCCGTTCATGCAGTCACTCGCTCACACGCTCATCCACTCACTCGCCCATCCACTCACTCGCCCATCCACTCTACACGGGTCTGTGTATCTCCCTGTGTCTCTGTGTCTCTATGTGTCTCTGTCTCTCTGTGTCTCTCTGTGTGTGTGTCTATCTCTCTGTGTCTCTCTGTGTGTGTCTCTCTGTGTGTGTCTCTGTGTCTCCTTCTGTGTGTGTCTCTGTCTCTGTGTGTGTCTCTCTGTCTGTGTCTCTCTGTGTGCCTCTCTGTGTGTGTCTGTGTGTGTGTCTCTATCTCTCTGTGTGCGTCTCTCTGTGTGTGTCTCTGTGTCTCTATGTCTCTGTCTCTGTGTCTCTCTGTGTGTGTGTCTATCTCTCTGTGTGTGTCTGTGTCTCTCTCTGTGTGTCTCTCTGTGTGTGTCTCTGTGTCTCTGTGTCTCCTTCTGTGTGTGTCTCTGTCTCTCTCTGTGTGTGTCTCTCTGTCTGTGTCTCTCTCTGTGTGCCTCTCTGTGTGTGTCTGTGTCTCTCTGTGTCTGTGTGTGTCTCTGTGTCTGTGTGTGTCTCTGTGTCTCTCTGTGTGTGTCTCTCTGTCTCTCTGTGTGTGTGTGTCTCTCTGTGTCTCTCTTTGTGGGTCTCTGTGTGTGTGTCTGTGTGCCTCTCTGTGTGTGTCTGTGTGTGTGTCTCTGTGTCTCTGTGTGTGTCTCCAGGTAGCTCTGTGGACACTGGGACAGCTGGTGGCCAGCACTGGCTATGTGGTAGAGCCGTACCGACGGTACCCATCCCTCTCTCTGTGTGTGTCTCTGTGTGTGTCTCTGTGTGTCTCTCTGTGTGTGTCTCTGTGTGTGTGTCTCTGTGTGTGTCTCTAGGTAGCTCTGTGGACACTGGGACAGCTGGTGGCCAGCACGGGCTATGTGGTAGAGCCGTACCGACGGTACCCATCCCTCTCTCTGTGTGTGTCTCTGTGTGTGTCTCTGTGTGTCTCTCTGTGTGTGTCTCTGTGTGTGTCTCTCTGTGTGTGTCTCTAGGTAGCTCTGTGGACACTGGGACAGCTGGTGGCCAGCACTGGCTATGTGGTAGAGCCGTACCGACGGTACCCATCCCTCTCTCTCTGTGTCTCTCTGTGTCTCTCTCTGTGTCTTTCTGTGTGTCTCTCTGTGTCTCTGTGTGTGTCTCTAGGTAGCTCTGTGGACACTGGGACAGCTGGTGGCCAGCACGGGCTATGTGGTAGAGCCGTACCGACGGTACCCATCCCTCCTAGACGTCCTTCTCAGCTTCCTCAAGACAGAGCAGTCGCACGGCATCCGTAGGGAGGTAGGGACAGCTGTCACTGAGGAGGTCACCTGGGTGCTGATGATGGTGATGGTGGTGGTGATGATGGTGGTGGTGGTGGTGATGGTGGTGATGATGGTGGTGGTGGTGGTGATGGTGGTGATGGTGATGGTGGTGATGGTGGTGATGGTGATGGTGGTGGTAATGATGGTGGTGGTGGTGATGGTGGTGATGATGATGGTGGTGGTGGTGGTGATGGTGATGATGATGGTGGTGATGGTGGTGATGGTGGTGATGGTGGTGGTAATGATGGTGATGAGGATGGTGATGGTGGTGGTGGTGGTGGTGATGGTGGTGATGATGGTGATGATGATGGTGGTGGTGGTGGTGATGGTGGTGATGAGGAGGGTGATGGTGGTGATGGTGGTGATGATGGTAGTGATGGTGGTGGTGGTGATGGTCGTGGTGATGGTGGTGGTGATGGTGGTGATGGTGGTGGTGGTAATGGTGGTGGTGGTGTTGGTTATGATGATGGTGATGATGGTGGTGGTGGTGGTGATGAGGATGGTGATGGTGGTGGTGGTGGTGATGGTGATGGTGGTGATGATGGTGATGGTGGTGGTGATGGTGGTGGTGATGGTGGTGGTGGTGGTGATGGTGGTGATGAGGATGGTCATGATGATGATGATGATGGTGGTGATGGTGGTGGTGATGGTGATGATGATGGTGGTGGTGGTGGTGATGGTGATGATGATGGTGGTGGTGGTAATGGTGATGATGATGATGGTGGTGGTGGTGATGGTGGTGGTGATGGTGGTGATGAGGATGGTGATGGGGATGGTGATGATGGTGATGATGATGGTGATGGTGGTGATGATGGTGGTGATGGTGGTGATCGTGGTGATGATGATGGTGTTGGTGATGATGGTGGTGGTGCTGATTGTAGTGGTGCTGATGATGATGGTGCTGATGATGACGGTGCTGATGATGATGATGGTGGTGGTGATGAGGATGGTGATGGTGAGGATGGTGATGGTGATAGTGGTGATGGTGGTCGTGGTCGTGGTGGTGATGGTGATGATGATGGTGTTGGTGATGATGGTGATGATGATGGTGGTGCTGATTGTCTTGGTGCTGATGATGCTGACGATGATGATGATGGTGGTGCTGATTGTAGTGGTGCTGATGATGCTGATCATGATGGTGGTGATGATGATGGTGCTGATGATGATGGTGCTCCTGATGATGATGGTGCTGATGCTGCTGATGATGATGGTACTGCTACGTTAGTCTCAGGAGGGATGTTGGGGCCACTGTGGGTGCCCTTTAACCCCTCCCCCTGCCACCCCTCCCCCCCACCCCTCCCCCCCCGCCCCCTCCCCCCACCCCCCTCCCCCCTCTTCCCCCACCCCCTCCCCCCCAAGGCGATTCGTGTGCTGGGCCTCCTGGGAGCCCTGGACCCGTTCAGGCACAAGGTGAACATTGGGATGATCGACCAATCACGGGAGGCCACAGCCGTCAGCATGACAGAGGGGAAGTCCAGTCCAGACGCCGCTGGTGAGCTCACCAACACTCACCAACACTCACCAACACTCACCAGTACTCACCAACACTCACCAACACTCACCAGTACTCACCAACACTCACCAGTACTCACCAACACTCACCAACACTACTCACCAACACTCACCACTACTACTCACCAGTACTCACCAACACTCACCAACACTCACCAACACTCACCAGTACTCACCAACACTCACCAACACTCACCAACACTACTCACCAACACTCACCAACACTCACCAACACTCACCAACACTACTCACCAACACTCACCAACGCTCACCAACACTACTCACCAACACTCACCAGTACTCACCAACACTCACCAGTACTCACCAACACTCACCAACACTACTCACCAACACTACTCACCAACACTCACCAACACTCACCAACACTTCTCACCAACACTTCTCACCAACACTCACCAAAACTCACCAACACTACTCACCAACACTCACCAGTACTCACCAACACTCACCAACACTTACCAACACTCACCAGTACTCACCAATACTCACCAATACTCACCAACACTCACCAACACTCACCAACACTCACCAACACTACTCACCAACACTCACCAACACTCACCAACACTCACCAACACTCACCAACACTACTCACCAACACTACTCACCAACACTCACCAACACTCACCAGTACTCACCAACACTCACCAACACTCACCAACACTACTCACCAACACTCACCAGTACTCACCAACACTCACCAACACTCACCAACACTCACCACTACTACTCACCAACACTCACCAGTACTCACCAACACTCACCAACACTCACCAGTACTCACCAACACTCACCACTACTCACCACTACTCACCAACACTCACCACTACTCACCAACACTCACCAACACTCACCAGTACTCACCAACACTCACCAACACTCAACAACACTACTCACCAACACTCACCAGTACTCACCAACACTCACCAACACTCACCAACAGTACTACTCACCACTACTACTCACCAACACTCACCAACACTCACCAACACTTCTCACCAACACTCACCAACACTCACCAACACTCACCAACACTACTCACCAACACTCACCAGTACTCAACAACACTCACCAACACTCACCAACACTCACCAGTACTCACCAATACTCACCAACACTCACCAACACTCACCAACACTCACCACTACTACTCACCAACACTCACCAACACTCACCAACACTCACCACTACTCACCAACACTACTCACCAACACTCACCAACACTCACCAATACTCACCAACACTCACCAACACTCACCAACACTCACCAACACTACTCACCAACACTCACCAACACTCACCAGTACTCACCACTACTCACCAACACTCACCAACACTACTCACCACTACTACTCACCAGTACTCACCAACACTCACCAACACTCACCAACACTACTCACCACTACTACTCACCAGTACTCACCAGTACTCACCAACACTCACCAACACTCACCAACACTCACCAGTACTCACCAACACTCACCAACACTACTCACCAACACTCACCAACACTCACCAACACTCACCAACACTCACCACTACTCACCAACACTCACCAACAGTACTCACCACTACTCACCAACACTCACCAACACTCACCAACAGTACTACTCACCAACACTCACCAACACTCACCACTACTACTCACCAACACTCACCAACACTCACCACTACTCACCACTACTCACCAACACTCACCAACACTCACCAACACTACTCACCAACACTCACCAACACTCACCAACACTCACCACTACTACTCACCAACACTCACCACCACTCACCACTACTACTCACCAGTACTCACCAACACTCACCAACACTCACCAACACTACTCACCACTACTCACCACTACTCACCAGTACTCACCAGTACTCACTACTCACCACTCACTACTCAGCACTCACCACCACTCACCACCACTCACCACTCAGCACTCACCACTCACCAGAACTCACCACCACTCACCACTCACCACCACTCACCACCACTCACCACCACTCACTTCTCACTACTCACTCACCAGCACTCAGTACTCACCACTCACCAGTACTCACCAGTACTCACTACTCACTACTCATCACTCACCACTCACCAGTACTCACTACTCACTACTCACCACTTAGTACTCACCACCACTCACCAGTACTCACCACTCGCCAGTACTCACCACTCACCAGTACTCACTACTCACCACTTAGTACTCACCACCACTCACCAGCACTCACCACTCACCACTCGGCCCCCACTCACCGCCAGCACCACTCGCCAGCACCGCTGCTCACCAACACCGCTCACCACCACTCACCACCGCTCACCACCACTCACCACTCACCACCGCTCACCACCGCTCACCACTCACCACCGCTCACCACCGCTCACCACTCACCACCACTCACCACCACTCACCACTCACCACCGCTCACCGCCTGTGTGAACATCACCCCCTCCTAGCGGGAGACTACAGCGCCAGCGAGATGCTTGTCAACATGGGGCAACGTGGCTCTTGAGGAGTTCTACCGCTCACCACCACTCACCACCGCTCACCACCACCGCTCACCACCGCTCACTGCCTGTGTAACCCTCACCCCTCTCCTAGCGGGAGACTACAGCGCCAGCGAGATGCTTGTCAACATGGGCAACGTGCCTCTGGAGGAGTTCCACCGCTCACCACCACCGCTCACCCCCTGTGTCACCCCCTCCTAGCGGGAGACTACAGTGCCTCCGAGATGCTTGTCAACATGGGCAACGTGCTGCTGGAGGAGTTCTACCGCTCACCACACTGTCACTCACCACCGCTCACCACCACCGCTCACCACCACTCACCACCGCTCACCCCCTGTGTCACCCCCTCCTAGCGGGAGACTACAGCGCCTCCGAGATGCTTGTCAACATGGGCAACGTGCCTCTGGAGGAGTTGTACCGCTCACCACCGCTCACCACCACCACTCACCACCACCGCTCACCCCCTGTGTCACCCTCACCCCTCTCCTAGCGGGAGACTACAGCGCCAGCGAGATGCTTGTCAACATGGGCAACGTGCCTCTTGAGGAGTTCTACCGCTCACCACCGCTCACCACCGCTCACCACCACCACTCACCACCGCTCACCCCCTGTGTCACCCCCTCCTAGCGGGAGACTACAGTGCCAGCGAGATGCTTGTCAACATGGGCAACGTGCCTCTTGAGGAGTTCCACCGCTCACCACCGCTCACCACCACCACTCACCACCGCTCACCACCGCTCACCACCACTCACCACCGCTCACCACCGCTCACCCCCTGTGTCACCCCCCTCCTAGCGGGAGACTACAGTGCCTCCGAGATGCTTGTCAACATGGGCAACGTGCTGCTGGAGGAGTTCTACCGCTCACCACCGCTCACCACCACCACTCACCACCGCTCACCCCCTGTGTCACCCCCTCCTAGCGGGAGACTACAGCGCCAGCGAGATGCTTGTGAACATGGGCAACGTGGCTCTGGAGGAGTTCCACCGCTCACCACCACCACTCACCACCGCTCACCCCCTGTGTCACCCTCACCCCCGTCCTAGCGGGAGACTACAGTGCCTCCGAGATGCTTGTCAACATGGGGCAACTTGCCGCTGGAGGAGTTCTACCGCTCACCACACTGTCACTCACCACCGCTCACCACCGCTCACCCCCTGTGTCACCCCCTCCTAGCGGGAGACTACAGTGCCTCCGAGATGCTTGTCAACATGGGCAACGTGCCACTTGAGGAGTTCTACCGCTCACCACCGCTCACCACCACCACTCACCACCGCTCACCACCGCTCACCCCCTGTGTCACCCCCTCCTAGCGGGAGACTACAGTGCCAGCGAGATGCTTGTCAACATGGGGCAACGTGCCTCTGGATGAGTTCTACCGCTCACCACCGCTCACCACCACTCATCACCGCTCACCACCACCGCTCACCCCCTGTGTCACCCTCACCCCTCTCCTAGCGGGAGACTACAGTGCCTCCGAGATGCTTGTCAACATGGGCAACGTGCCTCTTGAGGAGTTCCACCGCTCACCACCGCTCACCACCGCTCACCACCACCGCTCACCCCCTGTGTCACCCCCCTCCTAGCGGGAGACTACAGTGCCTCCGAGATGCTTGTCAACATGGGCAACGTGCTGCTGGAGGAGTTGTACCGCTCACCACCGCTCACCACCGCTCACCACCACCACTCACCACCGCTCACCCCCTGTGTCACCCCCTCCTAGCGGGAGACTACAGTGCCTCCGAGATGCTTGTCAACATGGGCAACGTGCCGCTCACCACACTGTCGCTCACCACTGTGTCGCTCACCACCGCTCACCACCGCTCACCACCGCTCACCCCCTGTGTAACCCCTCTCCTAGCGGGAGACTACAGCGCCAGCGAGATGCTTGTCAACATGGGCAACGTGCCTCTGGATGAGTTCTACCGCTCACCACCGCTCACCACCACTCATCACCGCTCACCACCACCGCTCACCCCCTGTGTCACCCTCACCCCTCTCCTAGCGGGAGACTACAGTGCCTCCGAGATGCTTGTCAACATGGGCAACGTGCCTCTTGAGGAGTTCTACCCCGCCGTGGCGGTGGCTGCCCTGATGCGGGTGCTCCGCGACCCGTCCCTGGCCGGCCATCACAGCATGGTGGTTCACGCGGTGACTTTCATCTTCAAGAGTCTGGGACTCAAGGGGGTGCAGTTTCTGCCACACGTGACGCCGACCCTCCTGGCGGTCATCCGCAGCTGCGACAGCAGCGTGCGGGAGGTGAGGGTGGCGGTGGTGGTGAGGGTGGTGGTGGTGGTGGTGGAGGAGGTGTGATGGTGGTGGTGGTGTAAACGGTGGTGGTGGTGGTTTTAGTGGGGGTGGAGGTGGTGGGGGTGGTAGTGGTGGTGGTGGTGGACGTGGTGGTGGTAGTGGGGGTGGTGGTGGACGTGGTGGTGGTGGAGGAGGTGGTGGAGGAGGTGGAAGAGGTTATAGAGGTGGTAGTGGTGGTGGTGGAGGAGGTGGTGGTGGTGTAGACGGTGGTGGTGGTGGTGGAGGTGGTGGTAGAGGGTAGTGGTGGTGGAGGTGGTGGTGGAGGTGGTGGTGGACGTGGTGGTGGTGGAGGAGGTGGTGGTAGAGATGGTGGTGGTGGTGGTAGAGATGGAGGTGGCAGTGGTGGTGGTGGTGGTGGTGGTAGTGGGGGTGGTGGTGATGGTGGTGGTGGTGATGGTGGTGGTGAACGTGGTGGTGGTGATGGTAGTGGGGGTGGTGGTAATGGTGGTAGTGGTGGTGGTAGTGGTGGTGGTGGTAGAGGTGGTGGTGATGGTGGTGATGGTGGTGGTGATGGTGGTGGAGGTGGTGGTGGTGGTGGTGGTGGTGATGGTGGTGGAGGTGGTGGTGGAGGTGGTGGTGGAGGTGGTGGTGGAGGTGGTGGTGGAGGTGGTGGTAGTGGTGGTGATGGTGGTGGTGATAGTGATAGTGGGGGTGGTGGTGATGGTGGTGGTGATGGTGGTGGTGATGGTGGTGGGGGTGGTAGTGGTAGTGATGGTGATGGTGGTGGAGGTGGTGATGGTGGTAGTGGTGATGATGGTGGTTATGATAGTGGGGGTGGTGGTGATGGTGATGGGGGTACCCTGCGATACAATTTAACCCCTCCCCTCCCTCCCTCCCCCCTCAACCCGCAGTTCCTCTTCCAGCAGCTGGGCATGTTGGTGTCGTTTGTACGCCAACACATCCGCCCCTACATGGACGACATCTTCTCCCTCATCAAGGTGGGGCGACCTCCTCTCCCTCGTCATCCACCTCATCGTCCACCACCTCCTCACCCGCTCGCTCGCTCGCTCATCCACTCGCACGTTCAGTCGCTCATTCGCTCACCCACCCACTCGCTTTTTCACTCATCCAGTCGCTCACTCATCCACTCACCCACCCACTCACCCACCCACCTACTCACCCACCCACTCACTCACTCACTCACCCACTCACTCATCCAGTCACTCACTCACCCACCCACCCACCCACCTACTCACCCACCCACTCACCTACTCACCCACTCACTCATCCAGTCACTCACTCACCCATTCACTCATCCACTCACCCACCCACCTACTCACCCACTCACTCATCCAGTCACTCACTCATCCACTCACCCACCCACTCACTCACCCACCCACCTACTCACCCACTCACTCACCCAGTCACTCACCCATTCACTCATCCACTCACCCACTCACTCACCCACCCACCTACTCACCCACTCACTCATTCAGTCACTCACTCACCCATTCCCTCATCCATTCACCCACCTACTCACTCACTCACTCATCCAGTCACTCACTCATCCACTCACCCACCCATTCATCCACTCACCCACCTACTCACCCACTCACTCATCCAGTCACTCACTCACCCACAAACTCACCCACCCACCCACCCACTCATCCACTCACTCATCCAGTCACTCACTCACCCATTCACTCATCCACTCACTCACTCATCCAGTCACTCATCCACTCACCCACCCACTCATCCACTCACCCACTCACTCATCCAGTCACTAACCCATTCACTCATCCACTGACTCACCTACTCACCCACTCACTCACCCACTCACTCACTCACCCACCCACTCACTCACCCACCCACCTACTCACCCACTCACTCACCCAGTCACTCACCCATTCACTCATCCACTCACCCACCCACCTACTCACCCACTCACTCATCCAGTCACTCACTCACCCATTCACTCATCCACTCACTCACCTACTCACCCACTCACTCACCCACTCACTTACCCACTCACTCACCCACTCACTCACTCACCCACAAACTCACCCACTCACTCACCCATTCACTCATCCACTCACCCACCCACCTACTCACCCACTCACTCATCCAGTCACTCACTCACCCATTCACTCATCCACTCACTCATCCACTCACCCACTCACTCATCCACTCACCCACTCACTCATCCAGTCACTCACTCACTCACCCACCCACCTACTCACCCACTCACTCACCCACTCACTCACCCAGTCACTCACCCATTCACTCATCCACTCACCCACCCACTCACCCACTCACCCACTCACTCACCCACTCACTTACCCACTCACTCACCCACAAACTCACCCGCCCACCCACTCGCTCATCCGCTCGCTCACCAACTCAACTCGATCACCTCACCCCGCCCGCTCGCTCACTCACCCACCCACCCACCCACCGTGCCCACACCCACCCACCCACCGTGCCCACACCCACCCACCCACCGTGCCCGCCCACCCACAGGAGTATTGGACGGTGAACAGCCCGATGCAGAATACCATCATCCTGCTGTTGGAGCAGATCGTGGTGGCTCTTGGTGGGGACTTGAAGCTCTACCTCCCCCAGCTCATCCCGCACATCCTGCGGGTGTTCATGCACGATAGCAGCCACTCGCGCATCGTCACCACCAAGGTGGGGGGAGGAGGAGGGAGGGGGAGGGAGGGGTGGGGAGGGGGGGAGGTGGGGAGGGGGGGGGGGAGGGAGGGAGAGGGAGAGGGAGGGAGGGAGGGGGAGAGAGGAGGAGGGAGAGGTGGGGGGGAGGGGAGGGAGAGGGGGGGGAGAGGGGGGGGGAGGGAGGGGAGGGAGGGAGTGAACCCCACCCACCCACCCACACTGCCACCCACCCACACGGCCACAGTTAACCCCACCCACCCACACAGTGAACCCCACCCACCCACACTGCCACCCACCCACACGGCCACAGTGAACCCCACCCACCCACCCACACAGTGAACCCCACCCACCCACCCACACAGTGAACCCCACCCACCCACCCACACAGTGAACCCCACCCACCCACACTGCCACCCACCCACACGGCCACAGTGAACCCCACCCACCCACCCACACAGTGAACCCCACCCACCCACACTGCCACCCACCCACACGGCCACAGTGAACCCCACCCACCCACCCACACAGTGAACCCCACCCACCCACACGGACATCGTGAACCCCACCCACCCACACGGCCACAGTGAACCCCACCCACCCACCCACCCACACTACCACAGTGATCTCCACCCACCCACCCACACAGTGAACCCCACCCACCCACACGGCCACCGTGAACCCCACCCACCCACACCCACCCACCCACACAGTGATACCCACCCACCCACACAGTGAACCCCACCCACCCACCCACCCACACGGACACAGTGAACCCCACCCACCCACACCCACCCACCCACCCACACGGCCACAGTGATCCCCACCCACCCACCCACCCACACTACCACAGTGATCTCCACCCACCCACCCACACAGTGAACCCCACCCACCCACACGGCCATCGTGATCCCCACCCACCCACACGGCCACCGTGAACCCCACCCACCCACCCACACCCACCCACCCACACGGACACAGTGAACCCCACCCACCCACACCCACCCACCCACCCACACTGCCACCGTGATCCCCACCCACTCTATCCTTGACACCCACCCACACCGTGATCCCCACCCACTCTATCCTTGACACCCACCCACACAGTGATCCCCACCCACCCACACCGTGATCCCCACCCACCCACACCGTGATCCCCACCCACTCTATCCTTGACACCCACACCGTGATCCCCACCCACCCACCCACACCGTGATCCCCACCCACCCACCCACACCGTGATCCCCACCCACCCACACCCACCCACACCGTGATCCCCACCCACCCACCCACACCGTGATCCCCACCCACCCACCCACACCGTGATCCCCACCCACCCACACCCACCCACACAGTGAACCCCACCCACCCACCCACACTGCCACCGTGATCCCCACCCACTCTATCCTTGACACCCACCCACCCACATCGTGATCCCCACCCACCCACACCGTGACCCCCACCCACCCACACAGTGATCCCCACCCACACTGCCACCGTGACCCCCACCCACTCTATTCTTGACACCCACCCACACCGTGATCCCCACCCACCCACCCACCCACACCGTGACCCCCACCCACCCACACAGTGATCCCCACCCACACTGCCACCGTGACCCCCACCCACTCTATCCTTGACACCCACACAGTGAACCCCACCCACCCACCCACACTGCCACCGTGACCCCCACCCACTCTATCCGTGACCCCCACAGCTGCTGCAGGCGATGCAGCAGTTTGGAGCGAACCTAGACGACTACCTCCATCTCCTGCTGCCGCCCATCGTGAAGCTCTTCGAGTCACAGGAAATGCCCACGGTGGTTCGCAGGTACCCCTAGGGGTGGGTGTCGCTCGTCCGCTCGCTCGTCCGCTCGCTTGCCCTCTCGCTCGCCCTCTCGCTCGTCCGCTCGCTCGCCCTCTCGCTCGCCCTCTCGCTCATCCGCTCGCTCGTCCGCTCGCTCGCCCGCTCGCTCGCTCGCCCACTCGCTCATCCGCTCGCTCGCCCTCTCGCTCGTCCGCTCGCTCCCCCACTCGCTCGCCCTCTCGCTCATCCGCTCGCTCATCCGCTCGCTCGCCCGCTCGCTCGCCCTCTCGCTCGCTCGTCCGCTCATCCGCTCGCTCGTCCGCTCGCTCATCCGCTCACTCGCTCGCCCACCCGCTCGCTCGCCCACTCGCTCATCCGCTCGCTCGTCCGCTCGCTCGCTCGTCCGCCCGCTCGTCCGCCCGCTCAGCCGCTCACTCAGCCCGTTCAGTTCCTCGTGCATCATTCGCCCACTCGCTCGCTCACCCACTCGCTCGTCCAATCGTTCGTCCACTCACTCGTCCACTCACTCGTCCACTCAGCCCGTTCAGTTCCTCGTGCATCATTCGCCCACTCGCTCGCTCACCCACTCGCTCGTCCACTCAACTCGCCCATCCATTCACTCCTCCACCAGCTCACCCACCCACTGGCTTTTTCACTCGCCCATCCACTCGTTCATTCGCTCACCCACTCACTCATACACTCACTCGTCCACTCACTCACTCATACAATCACTCATCCACTCACTCACACACTCACTCACACACTCACTCACTCATACACTCACTCACTTGTTCATTCGCTCACCCACCCACTCACCCACCCACTCACTCGTCCAATCACTCATACACTCACTCATACACTCACTCATCCACCCACTCACTCATACACTCACTCGTCCACTCACTCACTCATACAATCACTCATCCACTCACTCACACACTCACTCACACACTCACTCACTCATACACTCACTCACTTGTTCATTCGCTCACCCACCCACTCACCCACCCACTCACTCGTCCAATCACTCATACACTCACTCATACACTCACTCATCCACTCACTCACTCATACACTCATCCACTCACTCACTCATCCACTCACTCATACACTCACTCATCCACTCACTCATCCACTCACTCATCCACTCACTCACTCATCCACTCACTCATCCACTCACTCACTCAACCACACCGCCCACTGACCCATCCACCCACCCATTCACGCAGCCACTTAGCCTGGTCTCACGTCACCTTGAGCTCACCACCGCACTACCGGCAACATCACCCTGATACTGCGTGGCCCCACCAGTAACATGACACCCACCATCACCTCACCCCCATCACCTCACCCCATCACCTCACCCCCATCACCTCACCCCCATCACCTCACCCCCATCACCTCCATCACCTCACCCATCACCTCACCCCCATCACCTCCTCCACCACCTCCCCCATCACCTCCCCCATCACCTCCCCCCCCATCAACTCCCCCATCACCTCCCCCATCACCTCCCCATCACCTCCCCCATCACCTCCCCCATCACCTCCCCCATCACCTCCCCCATCACCTCCCCCATCACCTCCCCCATCACCTCCCCCATCACCTCCTCCACCACCTCCCCCATCACCTCCCCCATCACCTCCACCATCACCTCCCCCATCACCACCCCCCCCATCACCTCCCCATCACCTCCCCCATCACCTCCCCCATCACCTCCCCCATCACCCCCCCCATCACCTCCCCCATCACCTCCCCCATCACCTCCCCCATCACCTCCCCCATCACCTCCCCCATCACCTCCACCATCACCTCCCCCATCACCTCCCCCATCACCTCCCCATCACCACCCCCCCCATCACCTCCCCATCACCTCCCCCATCACCTCCCCCATCACCTCCCCCATCACCCCCCCCATCACCTCCCCCATCACCTCCCCCATCACCTCCCCCCTCACCTCCCCCATCACCTCCCCCATCACCTCCACCATCACCTCCCCCATCACCACCCCCCCCATCACCTCCCCATCACCTCCCCCATCACCTCCCCCATCACCTCCCCCATCACCCCCCCCCATCACCTCCCCCATCACCTCCCCCATCACCTCCCCCATCAACTCCCCCATCACCTCCCCCATCACCACCCCCCCCATCACCTCCCCATCACCTCCCCCATCAACTCCCCCATCACCTCCCCCATCACCTCCCCCATCACCTCCCCCATCACCTCCCCCATCACCTCCCCCATCACCTCCCCCATCACCTCCTCCATCACCTCCACCATCACCTCCCCCATCACCTCACCCATCACCTCCCCCATCACCTCCCCCATCACCTCCTCCATCACCTCCCCCATCACCTCCCCCCCCATCAACTCCCCCATCAACTCCCCCATCACCTCCCCCATCACCTCCTCCATCACCTCCCCCATCACCTCCCCATCACCTCCCCATCACCTCCCCCATCACCTCCCCCATCACCTCCCCCATCACCACCCCCCCCATCACCTCCCCCATCACCTCCCCCATCACCTCCCCCATCACCTCCCCATCACCTCCCCCATCACCTCCCCCATCACCTCCCCCATCACCTCCCCCATCACCCCCCCCATCACCTCCCCCATCACCTCCCCATCACCTCCCCCATCACCTCCCCCATCACCTCCCCCATCACCTCCCCCATCACCTCCCCCATCACCTCCCCATCACCTCCCCCATCACCTCCCCCATCACCTCCCCCATCAACTCCCCCCCCCTCCCCCATCACCCCCCCCATCACCTCCCCCATCACCTCCCCCATCACCTCCCCCATCAACTCCCCCATCACCTCCCCCATCACCTCGTCCATCACCTCCCCCATCACCTCCCCCACCCCCCCCCCCACCTCCCCCATCAACTCCCCCATCAACTCCCCCATCAACTCCCCCATCACCTCCCCATCACCTCCATCACCTCCCCATCACCTCCATCACCTCCTCCATCACCTCCCCCACCATCACCTCCCCATCACCTCCCCCATCACCTCCCCCATCACCTCCATCACCTCCCCCCCCACCTCCCCCCCCCACCACCTCCCCCCACCACCACCTCCCCCCACCACCACCCCCCCACCACCTCCCCCCACCACCCGTCAGGGCTTCTCTGGAGACTCTGGAGCGCCTGACGGACTCGCTGGACCTGACGGACTTTGCCTCCCGCATCGTCCACCCCCTGGCCAGGGCCATCGACTCCAGCCCTGAACTCCGATCCTCGGCCATGGACACGCTGGCTGCACTGGTGCAGCAGATGGGCAAGAAGGTTGTGGGGGGGAGATGGTGGGGGGGAGATGGTGGGGGGGGGGGATGGTGGGGGGGGGGGGGGATGGTGGGGGGGGGAGATGGTGGGGGGGGAGATGATTGGGGGAGAGATTGTATGGAGATGTGTGTGTGTGTCTGTGTGTGTCTCTCTGTGTGTGTCTCTGTGTGTGTCTCTCTGTGTGTGTCTCTGTCTCTGTGTGTGTCTCTGTGTGTGTCTCTCTGTGTGTGTCTCTCTGTGTGTGTCTCTGTGTGTGTCTCTCTGTGTGTGTCTCTTTGTGTGTCTCTCTGTGTGTGTCTCTGTGTCTCTCTGTGTGTGTCTCTCTGTGTGTGTCTCTGTGTGTGTATCTGTCTCTGTGTGTGTGTCTCTCTGTGTGTCTCTCTGTGTGTGTCTCTCTCTGTCTCTCTGTGTGTGTCTCTGTGTCTCTCTGTGTGTGTCTCTCTGTGTGTGTCTCTGTGTGTCTCTCTGTGTGTGTGTCTCTGTGTCTCTCTGTGTTTGTCTCTTTGTGTGTCTCTCTGTGTGTGTGTCTCTGTGTCTCTCTGTGTGTGTCTCTCTGTGTGTCTCTCTGTGTGTGTCTCTGTCTCTCTGTGTGTGTCTCTGTGTCTCTCTGTGTGTGTCTCTCTGTGTGTGTCTCTGTGTGTCTCTGTCTCTGTGTGTGTCTCTGTGTGTCTCTCTGTGTGTGTCTCTCTGTGTGTGTCTCTCTGTCTGTCTCTGTCTCTCTGTGTGTGTCTCTCTGTGTGTGTCTCTCTGTGTGTGTCTCTGTGTGTCTCTCTCTGTGTGTCTCTCTCTTTGTGTGTGTCTTTGTGTCTCTGTGTGTGTGTGTGTCGTTGTGTCTCTGTGTCTCTCTCTCTCTGCGTGTCTCTCTCTGTGTGTGTCTCTCTCTGTCTCTCTGTGTGTGTGTCTTTGTGTGTCTGTGTGTCTCTCTCTGTGTGTCTCTCACTGTCTCTCTCTATGTGTGTGTCTTTGTGTCTCTGTGTGTCTGTCTCTCTGTGTGTCTCTCTCTGTGTGTCTCTCTCTGTGTCTCTCTCTGTGTGTCTCTCTCTGTGTCTCTCTCTGTGTGTCTCTCTGTGTGTGTGTCTTTGTGTCTCTGTGTGTCTCTCTGTGTCTCTCTCTCTGTGTCTGTATGTCTCTCTGTGTCTCTCTCTGTGTGCCTCTCTCTGTGTGTCTCTCTGTGCGTGTCTCTCTCTGTCTCTCTCTGTGTGTCTCTCTCTGTCTCTCTCTCTGCGTGTCTCTCACTGTCTCTCTCTCTCTGTGTGTCTCTCTCTGTGTGTCTCTCTCTGTGTGTCTCTGTGTGTGTCTCTCTCTGTGCGTGTCTCTCTCTGTGTGTCTCTCTCTGTGCGTGTCTCTCACTGTCTCTCTCTGTGTCTCTCTCTGTGTCTATGTGTGTGTCTCTCTCTGTGTGTGTCTCTGTGTGTCTCTGTGTGTGTCTCTCTCTGTGCGTGTCTCTCACTGTCTCTCTCTCTGTGTGTGTGTCTTTGTGTCTCTCTGTGTGTGTCTCTGTGTGTGTCTCTCTCTCTGCGTGTCTCTCACTGTGTGTCTCTCTCTGTGTGTCTTTGTGAGTGTCTCTCTCTCTGTGCGTGTCTCTCACTGTCTCTCTCTCTCTGTGTGTCTCTCTCTGTGTCTCTGTGTGTGTGTCTCTCTCTCTGTGTGTCTCTCACTGTCTCTCTCTCTGTGTGTGTCTCTCTCTCTGTGTGTCTCTGTGTGTGTCTCTGTGTGTGTCTCTCTCTCTGTGCGTGTCTCTGTGTCTCTGTGTGTGTCTCTCTCTGTGTCTCTCACTGTCTCTCTCTCTGTGTGTGTCTCTCTCTGTGTCTCTCACTGTCTCTCTCTCTCTGTGTCTCTCACTGTCTCTCTCTCTCTGTCTCTCTCTGTGTGTCTCTCTCTGTGTGTCTCTCTCTGTGTCTCTCTCTGTGTGTCTCTGTGTGTGTCTCTCTCTGTGCGTGTCTCTCTCTCTCTGTGTCTCTCACTGTCTCTCTCTGTGTGTCTCTGTGTGTGTCTCTCTCTCTCTCTCTCTGTGTCTCTCACTGTCTCTCTCTCTCTGTGTGTCTCTCTCTGTGTGTGTCTCTCACTGTCTCTCTCTCTCTCTCTGTGTGTCTCTCTGTGTGTCTCTGTGTGTGTCTCTCTCTGTGTGTGTCTCTCACTGTCTCTCTCTCTCTCTGTGTGTCTCTCTGTGTGTCTCTGTGTGTGTCTCTCTCTGTGTGTGTCTCTCACTGTCTCTCTCTCTCTCTGTGTGTCTCTCTGTGTGTCTCTGTGTGTGTCTCTCTCTGTGCGTGTCTCTCACTGTCTCTCTCTCTCTCTGTGTGTGTGTGCGCGCCACACAGTACCAGATCTTCATTCCCATGGTAGGCAAGGTTTTGGCGAAGCACCGCATCACCCACCAGCGCTACGACATCCTCATCTGCCGCATCGTCAAGGTAACGGCTGCACAGATGACGGCAGAGGGCACCAACACGGAGCGTCTTGACCGGGCCGATGAAGGCGGATGTTGTGGAGCACGCTCGCTCACTCAGCTACTCGCTCAGCTACTCGCTCAGCTACTCACTCAGATAATTACTCAGATACTTACTCAGCTACTTACTCAGCTACTCGCTCAGCTACTCGCTCAGATGCTCGCTCAGATACTCACTCAGCTACTTACTCAGATACTTACTCAGCTACTCGCTCAGCTACTCACTCAGATAATTACTCAGATACTTACTCAGCTACTCACTCAGCTACTCACTCGCTCAGCTACTCGCTCAGCTACTCACTCAGCTACTCGCTCAGCTACTCACTCACTCAGATACTTACTCAGCTACTCACTCAGCTACTCGCTCAGCTACTCACTCAGCTACTCGCTCAGATACTCGCTCAGCTACTCGCTCAGCTACTCAGCTACTCACTCAGCTACTCACTCAGCTACTTACTCAGCTACTCACTCAGCTACTCGCTCAGCTACTCACTCAGATACTCGCTCAGATACTCGCTCAGCTACTCAGCTACACACTCAGCTACTCAAACGCTCACTCAGCTACTCACTCAGCTACTCACTCAGATACTCACTCAGCTACTCACTCAGCTACTCACTCAGCTACTCGCTCAGATACTCGCTCAGCTACTCGCTCAGCTACTCAGCTACACACTCAGCTACTCACTCAGCCACTCACTCAGCTACTCACTCAGCTACTCACTCAGCTACTCACTCAGATACTTACTCAGCTACTCACTCAGCTACTCGCTCAGCTACTCACTCAGATACTCGCTCAGATACTCGCTCAGCTACTCAGCTACACACTCAACTACTCAAACGCTCACTCAGCTACTCGCTCAGCTACTCACTCGCTCACTCAGCTACTCACTCAGATACTTACTCAGCTACTCACTCAGCTACTCACTCGCTCACTCAGCTACTCGCTCAGCTACTCACATGCTCACTCAGCTACTCGCTCAGCTACTCACTCAGCTACTCACATGCTCACTCAGCTACCCGCTCAGCTACTCGCTCAGCTACTCGCTCAGATACTCACCCAGCTACTCACTCAGCTACTCGCTCAGCTACTCGCTCAGCTACTCTTTCAGCTACTCACTCAGCTACTCACTCAGCTACTCACTCGCTCACTCAGCTACTCGCTCAGCTACTCACACGCTCACTCAGCTACTCGCTCAGCTACTCACTCAGCTACTCACACGCTCACTCAGCTACTCACTCAGCTACTCGCTCAGCTACTCGCTCAGCTACTCACCCAGGTACTCACACGCTCAATCAGCTACTCAGCTACTCACTCAGCTACTCGCTCAGCTACTCGCTCAGCTACTCACTTGCTCACTCAGCTACTCACTCAGCTACTCAGACGCTCACTGAGCTACTCACTCAGCTACTCACTCAGCTACTCACACGCTCAATCAGCTACTCACTCAGCTACTCGCTCAGCTACTCACTCAGCTACTCACACAGCTGCTACTCACTCAGCTACTCACTCAGATACTCGCTCAGCTACTCACTCACTCAGATACTTACTCAGCTACTCACTCAGCTACTCGCTCAGCTACTCACTCAGCTACTCGCTCAGATACTCGCTCAGCTAATCGCTCAGCTACTCAGCTACACACTCAGCTACTCAAACGCTCACTCAGCTACTCACTCAGCTACTCACTCAGCTACTCGCTCAGCTACTCGCTCAGCTACTCGGCTACACACTCAGCTACTCAAATGCTCACTCAGCTACTCGCTCAGCTACTCGCTCAGCTACTCACACACTCACTCAGCTACTCGCTCAGCTACTCACTTAGCTACTCACATGCTCACTCAGCTACTTGCTCATCTACTCGCTCAGCTACTCGCTCAGATACTCACCCAGCTACTCACTCAGCTACTCGCTCAGCTACTCGCTCAGCTACTCATTCAGCTAATAACTCAGCTACTTACTCAGCTACTCACATGCTCACCCAGCTACTCACTCAGCTACTCGCTCAGCTACTCGCTCAGCTACTCATTCAGCTACTCACTCAGTTACTCACTCAGCTACTCACTCGCTCACTCAGCTACTCACGCTCACTCAGCTACTCACTCAGCTACTCACTCAGCTACTCACGCTCACTCAGCTACTCGCCCAGCTACTCGCTCAGCTACTCGCTCAGCTACTCATTCAGCTACTCACTCAGCTACTCACTCAGATGCTCACTCAGATACGCACTTTCTCACGCTGTGTCTCTCTGTGAGCCTCTCTGTGAGTCTCTCTGTGAGTCTCTCTCTGTGAGTCTCTCTCTGTGTGAGTCTCTCTGTGTGTCTCTCTGTGTGAGTCTCTCCGTGAGTCTTTCTGTGAGTCTCTCTCAGTCTCTCTGTGAGTCTCTCTGTGAGTCTCTCTGTGAGTCTCTCTGTGTGAGTCTCTCTGTGAGTCTCTCTGTGAGGCTCTCTGTGTGAGTCTCTCTCTGTGAGTCTCTCTAAGTCTCTCTCTGTGAGTCTCTCTCTGTGAGACTCTCTCTCTCTGAGTCTCTGTGAGTCTCTGTGAGTCTCTCTGTGAGTCTCTCTCTATGAGTCTCTGTGAGTCTCTCTCTGTGAGTCTCTCTGTGAGTCTCTCTGTGAGTCTCTCTGCGAGTCTCTTCCTGCGAGTCTCTCTGCGAGTCTCTTCCTGCGAGTCTCTCTGTGAGTCTCTCTGTGAGTCTCTCTCTGTAAGTCTCTGTGAGTCTGTCTCTGCGAGTCTCTCTCTGTGAGTCTCTGCGAGTCTCTCTGCGAGCCTCTCTCTGTGAGTCTCTGCGAGTCTCTCTCTGTGAGTCTCTGTGAGTCTCTCTGTGAGTCTCTCTCTCTGAGTCTCTCTCTCTGAGTCTCTCTCTCTGAGTCTCTCTCTGTGAGTGAGCCTCTCTGCGAGTCTCTCTCTGTGAGGCTCTCTCTGTGAGTCTCTGTGAGTCTCTCTCTGTGAGTCTCTCTCTGTGAGTCTCTCTCTGTGAGTCTCTCTCTCTCTGTGAGTCTCTCTCTCTCTGTGAGTTCTCTCTCTGTGAGTTCTCCCTCTCTGTGAGTCTCTGCGAGTATCTCTCTGTGAGTCTCTCTCTGTGAGTCTCTCTCTGTGAGTCACTCTCTGTGAGTCTCTCTGTGAGTATCTCCCTCTCTGCGAGTCTCTCTCTGTGAGTCTCTCTGTGTGAGTCTCTCTGTGAGTCTCTCTCTGTGAGTCTCTCTGTGTGAGTCTCTCTGTGAGTCTCTCTCTCTCTCTCTCTGTGAGTCTCTCTCTGCGAGTCTCTCTCTGCGAGTCTCTCTCTGCGAGTCTCTCTGTGAGTCTCGTCTCTGTGAGTCTCTCTCTGTGAGTCTCTGCGAGTCTCTCTCTGTAAGTCTCTCTCTGTGAGTCTCTCTCTCTCTCTGTGAGTCTCTCTGCGAGTCTCTCTGCGAGTCTCTCTGTGAGTCTCTCTCTCTCTGTGAGTCTCTCTGTGAGTCTCTCTCTCTCTGTGAGTCTCTCTCTCTCTCTGCGAGTCTCTCTCTGTGAGCCTCTCTGCGAGTCTCTCTGTGAGTCTCTCTCTCTCTGTGAGTCTCTCTCTCTCTGTGAGTCTCTCTGTGAGTCTCTCTCTCTCTGTGAGTCTCTCTCTGTGAGACTCTCTGTGAGTCTCTCTCTGTGAGTCTCTCTGTGAGTCTCTCTCTCTCTGCGAGTCTCTCTCTGTGAGACTCTCTGTGAGTCTCTCTCTGTGAGTCTCTCTGTGAGTCTCTCTCTCTCTGCGAGTCTCTCTCTGTGAGACTCTCTGTGAGTCTCTCTCTGCGAGTCTCTCTCTGTGAGTCTCTCTGTGAGTCTCTCTCTCTCTGCGAGTCTCTCTCTGCGAGTCTCTCTGTGAGTCTCTCTCTCTCTCTGTCTGCGAGTCTCTCCCTGCGAGCCTCACCCTGCGAGTGCTGCGTGTTCGTAGGGCAGCACTCTGGCCGAGGAGGAGGAGGAGGATCCCCTGCTGCTGCTGGTGCTCCGCCACCAGCGCTTGGGCAAGGCCAACCAGGGAGAGAGCGGTGCCGGGCTGGCCCTCGACGCTGGGCCCATGAAGAAGATGCACGTGAGCACGGCCAACCTGCAGAAGGTGCGTGGGTGGGCGGGTGGGTGGGTGGGTGAGTGAGCGAGTGGGTGGGTGGGTGAGCGGGTGGGTGGGTGAGTGGGTGGGTGGGTGGGTGAGTGGGTGGGTGGGTGGGTGAGTGGGTGGGTGGGTGAGCGGGTGGGTGGGTGAGCGGGTGGGTGAGTGGGTGAGTGGGTGGGTGGGTGAGTGGGTGGGTGAGTGGGTGGGTGGGTGGGTGAGTGGGTGTGTGGGTGAGTGGGTGGGTGGGTGAGTGGGTGGGTGAGTGGGTGAGTGGGTGGGTGAGTGGGTGAGCGGGTGGGTGGGTGGGTGGGTGGGTGGGTGGGTGAGTGAGTGAGTGGGTGGGTGAGTGGCTGGGTGAGTGAGTGAGTGGGTAGGTGAGTGAGTGAGTGAGTGGGTGGGTGAGTGGGTGACTGAGTGGCTGAGTGAGTGAGTTGTGAGTGGTTGAGTGAGTGAGTGACTGAGTGGCTGAGTGAGTGAGTGACTGAGTGAGTGGCTGAGTGAGTTTCTGAGTTAGTGAGTGAGTGGCTGAGTGAGTGAGTTGTGAGTTAGTGAGTGAGTGGCTGAGTGAGTGAGTTGTGAGTGGCTGAGTTAGTGAGTGAGTGGCTGAGTTAGTGAGTGAGTGGCTGAGTTAGTGAGTGAGTGGCTGAGTGAGTGAGTGAGTGGCTGAGTGAGTGACTGAGTAGCTGAGTTAGTGAATGAGTGGCTGAGTTAGTGAGTGAGTGACTGAGTGAGTGACTGAGTGACTGAGTGGCTGAGTTAGTGAGTGAGTGGCTGAGTAAGTGGCTGAGTGGCTGAGTGACTGAGTGAGTGGCTGAGCAACTGAGTGGCTGAGCGACTGAGTGGTTGTGGGTGTGTGGGTGAGTGAGTTTGGTGGCTGAGTGAGTGGCTAACTGAGTGAATGACTGAGTGGGTGTGTGAGCTGCTGAGTGAGTGGCTGATTGAGTGAATGAGTGGCTGAGTAAATGGCTGACTGAGTGGCTGAGTGAATGGGTGGTTGATTGACTGAGTGGCTCGTTGGGTTTGTGGGCGAGTGAGGTGGGTGGCTGAGTAAGTGGCTGAGTGAGTGAATGAGTGACTGAGTGGCTGAGTGACTGAGTGAGTGAGTTGTGAGTGGTTGAGTGAGTGAGTGACTGAGTGGCTGAGTGAGTGAGTGACTGAGTGAGTGGCTGAGTGAGTTTCTGAGTTAGTGAGTGAGTGGCTGAGTGAGTGAGTTGTGAGTTAGTGAGTGAGTGGCTGAGTGAGTGAGTTGTGAGTGGCTGAGTGAGTGGCTGAGTTAGTGAGTGAGTGGCTGAGTTAGTGAGTGAGTGGCTGAGTTAGTGAGTGAGTGGCTGAGTGAGTGAGTGAGTGGCTGAGTGAGTGACTGAGTAGCTGAGTTAGTGAATGAGTGGCTGAGTTAGTGAGTGAGTGACTGAGTGAGTGACTGAGTGACTGAGTGGCTGAGTTAGTGAGTGAGTGGCTGAGTAAGTGGCTGAGTGGCTGAGTGACTGAGTGAGTGGCTGAGCAACTGAGTGGCTGAGCGACTGAGTGGTTGTGGGTGTGTGGGTGAGTGAGTTTGGTGGCTGAGTGAGTGGCTAACTGAGTGAATGACTGAGTGGGTGTGTGAGCTGCTGAGTGAGTGGCTGATTGAGTGAATGAGTGGCTGAGTAAATGGCTGACTGAGTGGCTGAGTGAATGGGTGGTTGATTGACTGAGTGGCTCGTTGGGTTTGTGGGCGAGTGAGGTGGGTGGCTGAGTAAGTGGCTGAGTGAGTGAATGAGTGACTGAGTGGCTGAGTGACTGAGTGAGTGAGTTGTGCTGCTGAGTGAGTGTCTGATTGAGTGAATGAGTGTCTGAGTAAGTGGCTGAGTGAGTGGGTGGTTGAGTGGGTGAGTGAGGTGGGTGGGTGAGTGAATGAGTGGCTGATTGAGTGAATGAGTGGCTGATTGAGTGGCTGAGTGAGTGAGTGACTGAGTGGCTTAGTGGCAGAGTGAATGAGTGAATGAGTGAGTGAATGAGTGGCTGAGTGAGTGAATGACTGAGTGAGTGTGTGAGTGACTGAGTGAGCTGCTGAGTGAGTGTCTGATTGAGTGAATGAGTTGCTGAGTGAGCGGCTGAGTGAGTGGCTAACTGAGTGACTGACTGAGTGGGTGTGTGAGTGGGTGTGTGAGCTGCTGAGTGAGTGTCTGATTGAGTGAATGAGTGTCTGAGTAAGTGGCTTGTTGAGTGGCTGAGTGGCTGAGTGGGTGTGTGGGTGAGTGAGGTGGGTGGGTGGCTGAGTGAGTGAGTGACTGAGTCAGTTGTGAGTGGCTGAGTGAGTTGTGAGTGGCTGAGTGAGTGATTGAGTGAGTGGCTGAGTGAGTGACTGAGTGGCTGAGTGAGTGACTGAGTGACTGAGTGGCTGAGTTAGTGAGTGAGTGGCTGAGTGACTGAGTGAGTGAGTTGTGAGTTGCTGAGTGAGTGGGTGACTGAGTAAGTGACTGTGACTGAGTGGCTTAGTGGCTGAGTGACTGAGTGAATTGTGAGTGGCTGGGTGAGTAGCTGGGTGAGTGGCTGAGTGAGTGAATGAGTGAGTGGTTGAGTGAGTGGCTGAGTGAGTGAATGAGTGAGTGAATGAGTGAGCGACTGAGTGGCTGAGTGGGTGTGTGGGTGAATGAGGTGGGTGGCTGAGTGGCTAACTGAGTGAATGACTGAGTGGGTGTGTGAGTGGGTGTGTGAGCTGCTGAGTGAGTGTCTGATTGAGTGAATGAGTGGCTGAGTAAGTGGCTGAGTGAGTGGCTGAGTGGATGGGTGTGTGGGTGAGTGAGGTGGGTGGGTGGCTGAGTGAGTGGCTGATTGAGTGAATGAGTGGCTGAGTGAGTGAGTGACTGAGTGGCTGAGTGAATGAGTGGCTGAGTGAGTGAATGAGTGGCTGAGTAAGTGGCTGAGTGAGTGGCTGAGTGGGTGTGTGGGTGAGTGAGGTGGGTGGGTGGCTGAGTGAGTGGCTGATTGAGCGAATGAGTGGCTGAGTAAATCGCTGAGTGAGTGGGTGGTTGAGTGGGTGAGTGAGGTGGGTGGGTGAGTGAATGAGTGGCTGATTGAGTGAATGAGTGGCTGAGTGAGTGAGTGACTGAGTGGCTTAGTGGCAGAGTGAATGAGTGAGTGAATGAGTGGCTGAGTGAGTGAATGACTGAGTGAGTGTGTGAGTGACTGAGTGAGTTGCTGAGTGAGTGTCTGATTGAGTGAATGAGTTGCTGAGTGAGCGGCTGAGTGAGTGGCTAACTGAGTGACTGACTGAGTGGGTGTGTGAGTGGGTGTGTGAGCTGCTGAGTGAGTGTCTGATTGAGTGAATGAGTGTCTGAGTAAGTGGCTGAGTGAGTCGGTGGTTGAGTGGCAGAGTGGCTGAGTGGGTGGGTGTGTGGGTGAGTGAGGTGGGTGGGTGGCTGAGTGAGTGGCTGATTGAGTGAATGAGTGGCTGAGTGAGTGAGTGACTGAGTGGCGTAGTGGCTGAGTGAATGAGTGAATGAGTGGCTGAGTGAGTGAATGAGTGGCTGAGTGAGTGGCTAACTGAGTGAATGACTGAGTGAGTGAGTGTGTGAGTGACTGAGTGAGCTGCTGAGTGAGTGGCTGATTGAGTGAATGAGTTGCTGAGTGAGCGGCTGAGTGAGTGGCTAACTGAGTGGGTGTGTGAGTGGGTGTGTGAGCTGTTGTGTGAGTGTCTGATTGAGTGAATGAGTGGCTGAGTAAGTGGCTGAGTGAGTGGCTGGTTGAGTGGCTGAGTGGGTGTGTGGGCGAGGAGGTGGGTGGGTGGCTGAGTGAGTGGCTGATTGAGTGGCTGAGTGACTGAGTGAATGAGTGGCTGAGTGAGTGGTTAACTGAGTGAATGACTGAGTGGGTGTGTGAGTGACTGAGTGAGCTGCTGAGTGAGTGGCTGATTGAGTGAATGAGTTGCTGAATGCGTGGCTGAGAAAGCGGATGAGTGAGCGGCTGAGCGACTGAGTGGCTGAGTGAGTGTGTGGGTGATTGAGGTGGGTGGCTGAGTAAGTGGCTAACTGAGTGAATGACTGAGTGTGTGTGAGCTGCCAAGTGAGTGGCTGATTAAATCGCTGAGTGAGTGGGTGGTTGAGTGGCTGAGTGACTGAGTAGCTCAGTGGGTGAGTGGCTGAGTGGGTGTGTGGGTGAGTGAGTTGGGTGGGTGGCTGAGTGAGTGGCTGATTGAGTGGGTGAGTGAGTGACTGAGTGGCTTAGTGGCTGAGTGACTGTGTGGCTGAGTGAGTGGCTGAGTAAGTGGCTGAGTGAGTGGGTGGTTGTGTGGCTGAGTGGCTGAGTGGGTGTGTGGCTGAGTGAGTGGCTGATTGAGTGAATGAGTGGCTGAGTGATTGGCTGATTGATTGAATGAGTGGCTGAGTGAGTGGGTGAGTGTCCGAGTGGCTTAGTGGCTGAGTGACTGAGTGGCTGAGTGAGTGATTGAGTGAGTGGGTGGTTGAGTGGCTGAGTGACTTTGTGGCTGAGTGAGTGGGTGAGTGAGTGTCCGAGTGAGTGAGTGGCTGAGTGATTGAGTGGCTGGGTGAGTGAGTGGCTGAGTGAGTGGGTGGTTGAGTGGCTGAGTGGCTGAGTGGGTGTGTGGGTGAGTGGCTGAGTGGGTGTGTGGCTGAGTGAGTGATTGAGTGGCTGAGTGGCTGGGTGAGTGAGCGGGTGTGTGGCTGATTGAGTGACCGAGTGAGTGAGTGACCGAGTGAGTGAGTGACTGAGTGAGTGACTGAGTGTCTGACTGAGTGGCTGATTGAGTGATTGAATGGCTGGGTGAGTGGGTGAGTTAGTGACCGAGTGAGTGGCTGAGTGGGTGTGTGGGTGACCGAGTGACCGAGTGATTGAGTGGCTGAGTGGGTGTGTGGCTGAGTGAGTGACCGAGTGACCGAGTGACCGAGTGATTGAGTGGCTGAGTGGGTGTGTGGCTGATTGAGTGAATGAGTGGCTGGGTGAGTGGGTGAGTGGCTGAGTGAGTGAGTGAGTAGCTGAGTGGGTGAGTGGCTGAGTGAGTGACTGAGTGAGTGAGTGAGTGGCTGGCTGAGTGGGTGTGTGGGTGAGTGAGTGACTGAGTGAGTGAGTGAGTGGCTGGCTGAGTGGGTGTGTGGCTGAGTGGGTGAGTGGCTGAGTGAGTGACCGAGTGATTGTCGTCTCTCTCTCTCTCTGTGTCTGTGTGCAGGCGTGGGGAGCTGCTCGTCGTGTCTCCAAGGACGACTGGATGGAGTGGCTGAGACGTCTCAGTGTGGAGCTGCTCAAGGAGTCTCCCTCCCCGGCGCTGCGATCCTGCTGGACCCTCGCCCAGTCGTACACCCCCCTAGCACGGTTAGCAGGGCCATCGAGAACCCACGCACAGACACACACACACACACACAGACACACAGACACACACACACAGACACAGACACTCACACACAGACACACACACAGACACACACTCACACAGCCACACACACACTCACACAGACACTCACACAGACACTCACACAGACACACACACAGCCACACAGACACACACACAGAGACACTCACACAGACACACAGCCACACAGACACTCACACAGACACACACACACACAGACACACACACAGACACACAGACACTCACACAGACACACAGCCACACAGACACTCAAACAGACACACACACAGCCACACAGACACACACACAGACACTCACACAGACACACTCACACAGACACATAGCCACACAGACACTCACACAGACACTCACACAGACACTCACACAGACACACACACACAGACACACACACAGACACACTCGCAGACACTCACACACACTCACACACACAGACACACACACACAGACACTCACACACACAGCCACACACAGCCACACACAGACACTCACACAGACACACACACAGACACACACAGACACACACACAGACACACAGCCACACACACACACAGCCACACACACACAGCCACACACAGACACTCACACAGACACTCACACACACACAGACACTCACACAGACACACACACAGACACACACACAGACACACAGCCACACACACACACAGCCACACACACACAGACACACACACAGACACTCACAGACACACTCACAGACACAGGCACACACACAGACACACACACTGACACACACACAGACACTCACAGACACACACTCACAGACACTCACACGCACAGACACTCACACGCACAGACATTCACATACACACAGCCACACACACACACAGACACTCACACACACAGCCACACACAGCCACACACAGACACTCACACAGACACACACACAGACACACACAGACACACACACACACAGACACACACAGACACTCACACACACACAGACACACACAGCCACACAAAGACACTCACACACACACACAGCCACACACAGACACTCACACACAGACACTCACACACAGACACTCACACAGACACTCGCACAGACACTCACACACGCACAGACACTCACACGCACAGACACTCACACACACACAGCCACACACACACAGACACTCACACAGACACACAACAACAACAACAACCGCCATTCGCCACTAAGTGGCGGTGACGTCACCACGACGCTTGTGCCAGGCTATGTGCACCCTGAGGCCACGTGAAATGTCGAACGCCCGCTGGCAGGAGGTCACGGGGCAGACCCAGGTGCCACGGGTCGACTGACTGAGATGACTGAGATGACTGGCTGATGCACCACCTGTGCCCCCTACTGTGCCAACCTGCTGTGCTTTAGCCACCCGGCGCTCCGCTCGCTGTTGTGAGCGTCGCTCCTCCGCCCTCCGTTGTTGTTGGAGGGCGACTGCCTCCAACTGCCCAGTAGCATCCTTCACGAGCCTCCTCCACAGAGGCCGATCTTGACACCGCTGGTACCAGTCATCGGCAAGTCCACTCAGCTCCACGTCCTCCTGTACCACATCACTCCATCTCTTCTCTAGCCCGTGCCGCGCCCGCTTAGCCCCCTCAATCCGGCCAAACAAAAGCTGTTTCGGCATGCGGTGGCTGGGCATGCGGGCTACATGACCCAGCCATCGCAGCCTTGCCTGCCGGAGGAGCTCACCGATGGGACCTTGCCCAGATCTTTCAAGGATTTGTGAGCTCCTCACACAATCCAGTCTGGTTAAACCCAGGATGGATCATAGGCAGGGCAGCCTAAATATTTCCAACCGGCGAAGATGCTCCATTAGGGGGGTCCACGTTTCGCAAGCGTAGAGAAGGGAGGGAATGACCGTGGCCGAGAAGACCTGAAGCTTAGTGCGGAGCGACAGACCAGGTAGCTTCCACACAGCGTTACGCAACCGATGAAAAGATATTGCCGTTCGACTGATTCGGAGTGAGACCTCTGCTGTTAAACTGGAGCCGGTCATAAGCACACTGCCCAGGTATGGGAAACTCTCCACTCTCTCCACAACTGCCCCATCACCGATTGGGAGGAGTTGTGGGGGTGGAGTGTCCGATGGTACAAAATACCCAGGCAGGTGCTTAGTTTTGGTGGGGCTGATGGTAAGGCCCCACCTCTTAGTGGCACGCTCCAGTCTCAGCAGCAGCGTCTCCAACTCCTCCTCTGACACCTACACACACACCTTCACACACACACACACTCACACACTCACCCACACACTCACACACACCTACACACACACACACACACCCCCACACACACCCACACACTCACACACACACTCACACACCCGCACACCCACACACCCACACAAACACCTATACACCCACACACAAACCCACACACACATCCACACACACACACACCCACACACGCACACACCCACACACTCCCACACACTCACACACACTCACACACACACACACACCCACACCCACACACTCATACCCACACACACACTCACTAACTCACACACTCACTCCTCCACTTCCCCCCCACACTCTCCCCCCCACACTCCCCCCACACTCCCCCCCCACTCCCCCCCCCCCACACTCTCCCCCCACACTCTCCCCCCCACCACTCCTCCCCCCACTCCCACACACACACTCCAGGGAGCTGTTCAATGCGGCCTTCCTCTCCTGCTGGTCCGAGCTGGGGGAGCAGCAGCAGGATGAGCTCATCGGCAGCATGGAGCTGGCACTGACCTCCCAGGACATCACGGAGGTCACCCAGACGCTCCTCAACCTCGCCGAGTTCATGGAGCACAGCGACCGGGTAGCCGCCGCTCCCCCAGCCCCGCCCCGCCGGCTGGCTCGCTCGCTGGCTGGCTCACTCAGTCGCTCGCTCACTCAGTCGCTCGCTCACTCAGTCGCTCACTGGATCACTCAGTCGCTCACTGGCTCACTCAGTCGCTCGCCCACTCACTCGCCACTCAGTCGCTCACTCAGTCGCTCACTGGCTCACTCAGTCGCTCACTGGCTCACTCAGTCGCTCACTGGCTCACTCAGTCGCTCGCCCACTCACTCGCCACTCAGTCGCTCACTCAGTCGCTCACTGGCTCACTCAGTCGCTCACTCAGTCGCTCACTGGCTCACTCAGTCACTCACTGGCTCACTCAGTCGCTCACTGGCTCACTCAGTCGCTCACTCAGTCGCTCACTGGCTCACTCAGTCGCTCACTGGCTCACTCAGTCGCTCACTGGCTCACTCAGTCGCTCACTCACTCAGTCGCTCACTCACTCAGCCAGTCGCTCTCTCAGCTAGTCGCTCGCCCACTCACTCGCCACTCAGTCGCTCACTCAGTCGCTCACTGGCTCACTCAGTCACTCACTCACTCAGTCACTCACTGGCTCACTCAGTCGCTCACTCAGTCGCTCACCCACTCACTCGCCACTCAGTCGCTCACTCAGTCGCTCACTCACTCAGTCGTTCACTCAGCCAGTCGCTCACTGGCTCACTCAGTCACTCACTCACTCAGTCACTCACTGGCTCACTCAGTCACTCACTCAGTCGCTCACCCACTCACTCGCCACTCAGTCGCTCACTCAGTCGCTCACCACTCAGTCGTTCACTCAGCCAGTCGCTCACTGGCTCACTCAGTCGCTCTCTCACTCAGTCGCTCACTCACCGGCTCGCTCACCAACTCACTCGCTGGCTCACTCACTCAGTCGCTCACTCAGTCGCTCACTCACTCAGCCAGTCGCTCTCTCACTCAGTCACTCGCTCACTCAGTCGCTCACTCACTCAGCCAGTCGCTCTCTCACTCAGTCACTCGCTCACTCAGTCGCTCACCCACTCACTCGCCACTCAGTCGCTCACTCAGTCGCTCACCACTCAGTCGTTCACTCAGCCAGTCGCTCACTGGCTCACTCAGTCACTCACTCACTCAGTTGCTCACTCAGCCAGTCGCTCGCTCACTCGGTCGCTCACTCAGTCGCTCACTCACTCAGTCGCTCACTCAGCCAGTCGCTCGCTCACTCAGTCACTCGCTCACTCAGTCGATCACCCACTCACTCGCCACTCAGTCACTCACTCAGTCGCTCACCACTCAGTCGTTCACTCAGCCAGTCGCTCACTGGCTCACTCAGTCGCTCACTCACTCAGTCGCTCACTCAGCCAGGCGCTCACTCACTCAGCCAGTTGCTCACTCACTCAGCCAGTTGCTCACTCACCGGCTCGCTCACCAACTCACTCGCTCGCTCACTCAGTTGCTCACTCACTCGGTCGCTCACTCACTCAGCCAGTCGCTCACTCACCGGCTCGCTCACCCACTCGCTCGCCACTCAGTCGCTCACTCACTCAGTCGCTCACTCACTCAGCCAGTCGCTCACTCACTCAGTCGCTCACTCAGCCAATTGCTCACTCACTCAGTCACTCGCTCACGCAGTTACTCACCACCACCTCCACAACACCACCACTACCACCACTTCCCCCACCACTACCACCACCACCACCCTCACCCACCACCACCACCACCCCCACCACCACCACCACCTACACCACCACCTCCACCACTGCCACCTCCATCTCTACCACCACCACCTCTATAACCTCTTCCACCTCCTCCACCTCCTCCACCACCACCACCACCCCCACCACCACCCCCACCACCACCACCACCACCCCCACCACCACCACCATCACCACCACCCCCACCTCCACCACCACCACCACCCTCACCACCACCACCACCACCACCACCCTCACCACCACCACCACCCTCACCACCACCACCCTCACCACCCTCACCACCACCACCACCACCACCACCCTCACCACCCTCACCACCACCCCCACCACCACCACCACCACCACCCTCACCACCACCACCACCGTCACCACCACCCTCACCACCACCACCACCACCCTCACCACCACCCTCACCACCACCACCACCCTCACCACCACCACCTCCACCACCCTCACCACCACCACCACCGTCACCCCCCACAGCAGGGCCCGTTACCCCTGCGTGACGACAATGGAGTGGTGCTGCTGGGGGACCGCGCCTCCAACTGCCGGGCCTACGCCAAGGCGCTGCACTACAAGGAGCTTGAGTTCCAGAAGGGCGCCACTCCCGCCATCCTGGAGGGCCTCATCAGGTGCGGGCGTCCGTCTCCTCCCCCCACCCCACCCCCCACCTCCGCCGTGTCCTCCCCCGTGTCTCCCCAATGTCTCCGCGAGTCTCGCCGTGTCTCGCCGTGACTCCCCGTGTCTACGAGTCTCCCCGTGTCCACCCCAATGTCTCTACGAGTCTCGCCGTGCCTCTACGAGTCTCGCCGTGTCTCACCGTGACTCCCCGTGTCTCTACAAGTCTCCCCGTGTCTCGCCGTGTCTCGCCGTGTCTCCCCAATGTCTCTACGAGTCTCGCCGTGTCTCGCCGTGTCTCCACGAGTCTCCACGGGTCTCGCCGTGTCTCCCCGTGTCTCCCCGTGTCTCCACGTGTCTCCCCAATGTCTCTACGAGTCTCGCCGTGTCTCGCCGTGTCTCCCCAATGTCTCTACGAGTCTCGCCGTGTCTACCCGTGTCTCTACGAGTCTCCCCAATGTCTCGCCGTGTCTCGCCGTGTCTCCCCGTGTCTCTACGAGTCTCCCCAATGTCTCCACGAGTCTCGCCGTGTCTCCACGATTCTCCCCGTGTGTCTCCGCGTCTCCGCGTCTCCCCATGTCTCCACGAGTCTCGCCATGTCTCTACGCGTCTCGCCGTGTCTCACCGTGTCTCTACGAGTCTCGCCGTGTCTCTACGTGTCTCTACGAGTCTCGCCGTGTCTCTACGTGTCTCTACGAGTCTCGCCGTGTCTCTACGATTCTCGCCGTGTCTCCACGAGTCTCGCCATGTTTCTACGTGTCTCGCCGTGTCTCCACGAGTCTCCACGAGTCTCGCCATGTCTCCTCGTGTCTCTACGAGTCTCCATGTGCCTCCACGTGTCGCCCGGTGTCCTATGAGTGTCCATGATTCGCCCTGAGTCTCTGCTACACCCTGAGTCTCTACTACACCCTGAGTCTCTGCTACACCCTGAGTCTCTACTACACCCTGAGTCTCTACTACACCCTGAGTCTCTGTTACACCCTGAGTCTCTGCTACACCCTGAGTCTCTGTTACACCCTGAGTCTCTACTACACCCTGAGTCTCTACTACACCCTGAGTCTCTGCTACACCCTGAGTCTCTACTACACCCTGAGTCTCTACTACACCCTGAGTCTCCACTACACCTTGAGTCTCTACTACACCCTGAGTCTCTACTACACCCACAGTCTCTACTACACCCTGAGTCTCTACTACACCCACAGTCTCTACTACACCCTGAGTCTCTACTACACCCTGAGGCTACTACTACACCCTGAGTCTACTACACTCTTAGTCTCTACTACACCCTGAGTCTCTACACCCTGAGTCTCTACTACACCCTGAGTCTCTACTACACCCACAGTCTCTACTACACCCTGAGTCTCTACTACACCCACAGTCTCTACTACACCCTGAGTCTCTACTACACCCTGAGGCTACTACTACACCCTGAGTCTACTACACTCTTAGTCTCTACTACACCCTGAGTCTCTACACCCTGAGTCTCTACTACACCCTGAGTCTACTACACCCTGAGTCTCTACACCCTAAGGCTACTACTACACCCTGAGTCTCTACTACACCTTGAGGCTACTACTACACCCTGAGTCTCTACTACACCCTGAGGCTACTACTACTACACCCTGAGTCTCTACTACACCCTGAGTCTCTACTACACCCTGAGTCTCTACACCCTGAGTCTCCGCTACACCCTGAGGCTACTACTACACCCTGAGTCTCTGCTACACCCTGAGTCTCTACTACACCTCGAGTCTCTACTACACCATGAGGCTACTACTACACCCTGAGTCTCTACTACACCCTGAGTCTCTGCTACACCCTGAGTCTCTGCTACACCCTGAGTCTCTACTACACCCTGAGGCTACTACTACTACACCCTGAGTCTCTACTACACCCTGAGTCTCTACACCCTGAGTCTCCGCTACACCCTGAGTCTCTACTACACCCTGAGGCTACTACTACACCCTGAGTCTCTACTACACCCTGAGTCTTCCGCTACACCCTGAGGCTACTTCTACACCCTGCGTCTCTACTACACCCTGAGTCTCCGCTACACCCTGAGGCTACTACTACACCCTGAGTCTCTACTACACCCTGAGGCTACTACTACACCCTGAGTCTACTACACCCTGAGGCTACTACTACACCCTGAGGCTACTACTACACCCTGAGGCTACTACACCCTGAGTCTCTGCTACACCCTGAGTCTCTACTACACCCTGAGGCTACTACTACACCCTGAGGCTACTACACCCTGAGGCTACTACTAGACCCTGAGGCTACTACACCCTGAGGCTACTACTACACCCTGAGGCTACTACTACACCCTGAGTCTCTACTACACCTGAGGCTACTACTACTACACCCTGAGTCTCTACTACACCCTGAGGCTACTACTACACCCTGAGTCTCTACTACACCCTGAGGCTACTACACCCTGAGGCTACTACTACACCCTGAGTCTCTACTACACCTTGAGGCTACTACTACACCCTGAGGCTACTACTACTACACCCTGAGTCTACTACACCCTGAGGCTACTTCTACTACACCCTGAGTCTACTACACCCTGAGTCTACTAGACCCTCAGTCTACTACACCCTGAGTCTCTACACCCTGAGTCTCTACTTCACCCTGAGTCTACTACACCCTGAGTCTACTACACCCTGAGTCTACTAGACCCTCAGTCTACTACACCCTGAGTCTACTAGACCCTCAGTCTACTACACCCTGAGGCTACTAGACCCTCAGTCTACTACACCCTGAGGCTACTACACCCTGAGTCTACTACACCCTGAGGATACTACACCCTGAGTCTACTACACCCTGAGTCTACTACACCCTGAGTCTACTAGACCCTGAGTCTACTAGACCCTGAGTCTCTACACCCTGAGTCTACTAGACCCTGAGTCTACTACACCCTGAGTCTACTACACCCTGAGTCTACTAGACCCTGAGTCTACTACACCCTGAGGCTACTAGACCCTGAGTCTACTACACCCTGAGTCTCTACACCCTGAGTCTACTACACCCTGAGGCTACTAGACCCTGAGTCTCTACACCCTGAGTCTACTACACCCTGAGTCTCTACTACACCCTGAGTCTACTACACCCTGAGTCTACTACACCCTGAGTCTACTAGACCCTCAGTCTACTACACCCTGAGTCTACTACACCCTGAGTCTCTACACCCTGAGTCTACTAGACCCTCAGTCTACTAGACCCTGAGTCTACTACACCCTGAGTCTCTACTACACCCTGAGTCTACTACACCCTGAGTCTACTAGACCCTGAGTCTACTAGACCCTGAGTCTACTAGACCCTGAGTCTACTACACCCTGAGGCTACTACTACTAGACCCTGAGTCTACTACACCCTGAGTCTCTACACCCTGAGTCTCTACTACACCCTGAGTCTACTACACCCTGAGTCTACTACACCCTGAGTCTACTAGACCCTCAGTCTACTACACCCTGAGTCTACTACACCCTGAGTCTCTACACCCTGAGTCTACTAGACCCTCAGTCTACTAGACCCTGAGTCTACTACACCCTGAGTCTCTACTACACCCTGAGTCTACTACACCCTGAGTCTACTAGACCCTGAGTCTACTAGACCCTGAGTCTACTAGACCCTGAGTCTACTACACCCTGAGGCTACTACTACTAGACCCTGAGTCTACTACACCCTGAGTCTCTACACCCTGAGTCTCTACTACACCCTGAGTCTACTACACCCTGAGTCTACTACACCCTGAGTCTACTAGACCCTCAGTCTACTACACCCTGAGTCTCTACACCCTGAGTCTACTAGACCCTGAGTCTACTACACCCTGAGTCTACTAGACCCTGAGTCTACTACACCCTGAGTCTACTACACCCTGAGGCTACTACACCCTGAGTCTACTACACCCTGAGTCTACTAGACCCTGAGTCTACTAGACCCTGAGTCTACTAGACCCTGAGTCTACTACACCCTGAGTCTACTACACCCTGAGTCTACTAGACCCTAATTCTACTAGACCCTGAGTCTACTAGACCCTGAGTCTACTACACCCTGAGGCTACTACACCCTGAGTCTACTAGACCCTCAGTCTACTACACCCTGAGTCTCTACACCCTGAGTCTACTACACCCTGAGTCTACTAGACCCTGAGTCTACTAGACCCTGAGTCTACTACACCCTGAGTCTACTACACCCTGAGTCTACTAGACCCTGAGTCTACTACACCCTGAGTCTACTAGACCCTGAGTCTACTAGACCCTGAGTCTACTAGACCCTGAGTCTACTAGACCCTGAGTCTCCGCTACACCCTGAGTCTACTACACCCTGAGTCTCTACACCCTGAGGCTACTACACCCTGAGTCTCTACTACACCCTGAGTCTACTACTACACCCTGAGTCTCTGCTACACCCTGAGTTTACTAGACCCTGAGTCTCTACACCCTGAGTCTACTACACCCCGAGTCTCTGTTACACCCTGAGTCTCTACACCCTGAGTCTACTACTACACCCTGAGTCTACTACTAGACCCTGAGGCTGCTGCTAGTAGACCCCTCTGACACGGTGCCTGTTTGCCCCGGGTTGTCCGTGTCACAGTATCAACAACAAGCTGCAGCAGCCAGAGGCAGCTGCTGGCGTCCTGGAGTACGCCATGAAGCATCACGGGGGCGAGCTGGTGGGTGGGTGGGTGGGTGTGTGGGTGGGGTGGGTGGAGTGGGTGTGGGTGGATGTGTGGGTGGGTGTGTGTGGGTGGAGTGGATGTGTGGGTGGAGTGGGTGTGTGGGTGGGGTGTGTGTGGGTGGAGTGGGTGTGTGGGTGGAGTGGATGTGTGGGTGGGTGGGTGTGTGGGTGGGTGTGTGTGGGTGGAGTGGATGTGTGGGTGGGTGGGTGTGTGGGTGTGTGTGTGTGGGTGGAGTGGATGGGTGGGTGGGTGTGGGTCGGTGGAGTGGATGTGTGGGTGGGTGTGTGTGGGTGGAGTGGATGTGTGTGTGGGTGGGGTGTGTGTGGGTGGAGTGGGTGTGTGTGTGGGTGGGTGTGTGTGGGTGGGGTTACATATTTAAGTCGTGGTTTCGTGGTAATCAATTGAAGGTGGAGGGGTTGCCAGCCGCTCGCACCCGTCCAGAGCCCCCGTTTTAGCCCCTGTGGTGGACACAGACGCCGTGAGGGGCGGAGCCAATCGGAATTGGCTCCTCCCCCCCCCACAGCGCTGTCCACGACAGAGTTGCCCGTCCGGCACCGCGAGGAGGTAGGGGGTTGTTTTGGCCTCAAGGTGCACATGGCCTGGCACAAGAGTCGTGGCGACGTCACCGCCACTTTGTGGCGAATGGCGGTTGTTGTTGTTGTGTGGGTGGGGTGGGTGTGTGTGGGTGTGTGTGGGGTGGGTGGGTGTGTGTGGGTGGGTGGGTGGGGTGGGTCTCTGGGTTTGTGGGTGCATAGGTGTGTGTGGGTGGGGTGGGTGTGTGTGGGGTGGGTATATGTGGGTGGTGTGGGTGGGGTGGGTGTGTGTGGGTGGGGTGGGTGTATGTGGGTGGGGTGGGTGTATGTGGGTGGGGTGGGTGTGTGTGGGTGGGGGTGGGTGTGTGGGTGGGGTGGGTGTGTGGGTGGGGTGGGTGTGTGGGTGGGGTGGGTGTATGTGGGTGGGGTGGGTGTATGTGGGTGGGGTGGGTGTGTGTGGGTGGGGGTGGGTGTGTGGGTGGGGTGGGTGTGTGGGTGGGGTGGGTGTGTGTGGGTGTGTGTGGGGTGGGTGGGTGTGTGTGGGTGGGTGGGTGGGGTGGGTCTCTGGGTTTGTGGGTGCATAGGTGTGTGTGGGTGGGGTGGGTGTGTGTGGGGTGGGTATATGTGGGTGGTGTGGGTGGGGTGGGTGTGTGTGGGTGGGGTGGGTGTATGTGGGTGGGGTGGGTGTATGTGGGTGGGGTGGGTGTGTGTGGGTGGGGGTGGGTGTGTGGGTGGGGTGGGTGTGTGGGTGGGGTGGGTGTGTGGGTGGGGTGGGTGTATGTGGGTGGGGTGGGTGTATGTGGGTGGGGTTGGTGTGTGTGGGTGGGGGTGGGTGTGTGGGTGGGGTGGGTGTGTGGGTGGGGTGGGGTGGGTGTGTGTGGGTGGGGTGGGTGTGGTTGGTTGGTGGGTGTGTGGGTGGGTGTGTGGGTGTGTGGGTGGGTGTGTGGGTGGGTGGGTGTGTGGGTGTGTGGGTGGGGTGGGTGGGTGGGTGTGTGGGGTGGGTGGGTGGGCGGGTGTGTGGGTGTGTGTGGTTGGTTATGTGGGTGTGTCAGTGGGTGTATCGGTTGGTGGGTGTGTGGGTGGGGGTGTGTGGGTAATGTGATGGGCAGGCGGGATAATTGGGTGGGTTAGGCTGAGTAGTAAGCGGGTGTCTGAGTGATTTGCTCACTAAGAGGGTGAGTGAATTAGTGAGCCACTCATCCCACTCAACCACACACCCAACCACTCACCCACTCACCCACCCACACACACCCACACACCCACTCACCCACTCACCCACCCACTCACCCACTCACCCACCCACTCACCCACTCACCCACTCACCCACCCACTCACCCACTCACCCACTCACCCACCCACTCACCCACCCACTCACCCACTCACCCACCCACTCACCCACCCACTCACCCACCCACTCACCCACCCACTCACCCACCCACTCACCCACCCACCCACTCACCCACCCACCCACTCACCCACTCACCCACCCACTCACCCACCCACCCACTCACCCACTCACTCACCCACTCACCCACCCACTCACCCACCCACACACCCACACACCCACCCACACACCCACCCACACACCCACCCACACACCCACCCACACACCCACCCACACACCCAGCCACACACCCAGCCACACACTCACCCACCCACTCACCCACCCACTCACTCACCCACCCACTCACTCACCCACCCACTCACTCACCCACCCACTCACTCACCCACTCACTCACCCACACACCCCCTCTCTCACCCACCCACACAATCACCCACCCACACAATCACGCACCCACACAATCACCCACCCACACAATCACCCACTCACCCACCCACTCACCCACACACTCACCCACACACTCACCCACACACTCACCCACACACTCACCCACACACCCACCCACTCACCCACCCACACACCCCCGCTCTCACCCACCCACACACCCCCTCTCTCACCCACCCACACACCCCCTCTCTCACCCACCCACCCCCTCTCTCACCCACCCACACACCCCCTCTCTCACCCACCCACACACCCCCTCTCTCACCCACCCACACACCCACCCACTCACCCACTCACCCACCCACTCACCCACCCACTCACCCACACACTCACCCACACACTCACCCACACACCCACCCACTCCCCACCCACACACCCACCCACACACCCACCCACTCCCCACCCACACACCCCCTCTCTCACCCACCCACACACCCCCTCTCTCACCCACCCACACACCCACTCACCCACCCACCCACACACCCACTCACCCACTCACCCACTCACCCACCACCCACTCACCCACCCACTCACCCACCCACTCACCCACCCACTCACCCACCCACACACCCACCAACCCACCCACACACCCACTCTCTCACCCACCCACCCACCCACCACAGGAGATCCAGGGCACGTGGTATGAGAAGCTGCATGAGTGGGAGGATGCGCTGGTGGCCTACGACCGCAAGGGGGAGGCCGCTCAGGACGACCCGGAGCACATGCTGGGTCGCATGCGCTGCCTGGAGGCCCTCGGGGAGTGGTGAGAGACACCGTCACTACCCTGTGTCCCTGTGGTGTCTCTGTGTTGTCTCTGTGTCTCTGTGGTGTCTCTGTGTCTCTGTGTGTTGGCTGGGTCGCATGCGCTGCCTGGAGGCCCTCGGGGAGTGGTGAGAGACACCGTCACTACCCTGTGTCTCTGTGTCTCTGTGGTGTCTCTGTGTGTTGGCTGGGTCGCATGCGCTGCCTGGAGGCCCTCGGGGAGTGGTGAGAGACACCGTCACTACCCTGTGTCTCTGTGTCTCTGTGGTGTCTCTGTGTCTCTGTGGTGTCTCTGTGGTGTCTCTGTGTTGTCTCTGTGTCTCTGCGGTGTCTCTGTGTCTCTGTGTGTTGGCTGGGTCGCATGCGCTGCCTGGAGGCCCTGGGGGAGTGGTGAGAGACACCGTCACTACCCTGTGTCTCTGTGGTGTCTCTGTGGTGTCTCTGTGGTGTCTCTGTGGTGTCTCTGTGGTGTCTCTGTGGTGTCTCTGTGGTGTCTCTGTGGTGTCTCTGTGGTGTCTCTGTGGTGTCTCTGTGGTGTCTCTGTGGTGTCTCTGTGTCTCTGTGTGTTGGCTGGGTCGCATGCGCTGCCTGGAGGCCCTGGGCGAGTGGTGAGAGACACCGTCACTACCCTGTGTCTCTGTGGTGTCTCTGTGGTGTCTCTGTGTCTCTGTGGTGTCTCTGCGGTGTCTCTGTGGTGTCTCTGTGGTGTCTCTGTGTCTCTGTGTGTTGGCTGGGTCGCATGCGCTGCCTGGAGGCCCTCGGGGAGTGGTGAGAGACACCGTCACTACCCTGTGTCTCTGTGGTGTCTCTGCGGTGTCTCTGTGTCTCTGTGTGTTGGCTGGGTCGCATGCGCTGCCTGGAGGCCCTCGGGGAGTGGTGAGAGACACCGTCACTACCCTGTGTCTCTGTGGTGTCTCTGTGTCTCTGTGTTGTCTCTGTGGTGTCTCTGTGGTGTCTCTGTGTCTCTGTGTGTTGGCTGGGTCGCATGCGCTGCCTGGAGGCCCTGGGCGAGTGGTGAGAGACACCGTCACTACCCTGTGTCTCTGTGGTGTCTCTGTGTCTCTGTGTGTTGGCTGGGTCGCATGCGCTGCCTGGAGGCCCTGGGCGAGTGGTGAGAGACACCGTCACTACCCTGTGTCTCTGTGGTGTCTCTGTGGTGTCTCTGTGGTGTCTCTGTGGTGTCTCTGTGGTGTCTCTGTAGTGTCTCTGTGTCTCTGTGTGTTGGCTGGGTCGCATGCGCTGCCTGGAGGCCCTCGGGGAGTGGTGAGAGACACCGTCACTACCCTGTGTCTCTGTGGTGTCTCTGTGTCTCTGTGTTGTCTCTGTGTCTCTGTGGTGTCTCTGTGGTGTCTCTGTGTCTCTGTGTGTTGGCTGGGTCGCATGCGCTGCCTGGAGGCCCTGGGGAAGTGGTGAGAGACACCGTCACTACCCTGTGTCTCTGTGGTGTCTCTGTGGTGTCTCTGTGGTGTCTCTGTGGTGTCTCTGTGTCTCTGTGTGTTGGCTGGGTCGCATGCGCTGTCTGGAGGCCCTCGGGGAGTGGTGAGAGACACCGTCACTACCCTGTGTCTCTGTGTTGTCTCTGTGTCTCTGTGTTGTCTCTGTGGTGTCTCTGTGTTGTCTCTGTGGTGTCTCTGTGGTGTCTCTGTGTCTCTGTGTGTTGGCTGGGTCGCATGCGCTGCCTGGAGGCCCTGGGCGAGTGGTGAGAGACACCGTCACTACCCTGTGTCTCTGTGGTGTCTCTGTGGTGTCTCTGTGTTGTCTCTGTGGTGTCTCTGTGGTGTCTCTGTGTCTCTGTGTGTTGGCTGGGTCGCATGTGCTGCCTGGAGGCCCTGGGCGAGTGGTGAGAGACACCGTCACTACCCTGTGTCTCTGTGTTGTCTCTGTGGTGTCTCTGTGTTGTCTCTGTGGTGTCTCTGTGGTCTCTCTGTGTCTCTGTAGTGTCTCTGTGTTGTCTCTGTGTTGTCTCTGTGTCTCTGTGTCTCTGTGGTGTCTCTGTGTCTCTGTGTTGTCTCTGTGTCTCTGTGTTGTCTCTGTGTCTCTGTGTTGTCTCTGTGTCTCTGTGTTGTCTCTGTGTCTCTGTGTTGTCTCTGTGTCTCTGTGTTGTCTCTGTGTCTCTGTGTTGTCTCTGTGGTGTCTCTGTGGTGTCTCTGTGTTGTCTCTGTGGTGTCTCTGTGGTGTCTCTGCGGTGTCTCTGTGTGTTGGCTGGGTCGCATGCGCTGCCTGGAGGCCCTGGGGGAGTGGTGAGAGACACCGTCACTACCCTGTGTCTCTGTGGTGTCTCTGTGGTGTCTCTGTGGTGTCTCTGTGGTGTCTCTGTGGTGTCTCTGTGGTCTCTCTGTGTCTCTGTAGTGTCTCTGTGTTGTCTCTGTGTTGTCTCTGTGTCTCTGTGTCTCTGTGGTGTCTCTGTGTCTCTGTGTTGTCTCTGTGTCTCTGTGTTGTCTCTGTGTCTCTGTGTTGTCTCTGTGTCTCTGTGTTGTCTCTGTGTCTCTGTGTTGTCTCTGTGTCTCTGTGTTGTCTCTGTGTCTCTGTGTTGTCTCTGTGGTGTCTCTGTGGTGTCTCTGTGTTGTCTCTGTGGTGTCTCTGTGGTGTCTCTGCGGTGTCTCTGTGTGTTGGCTGGGTCGCATGCGCTGCCTGGAGGCCCTGGGGGAGTGGTGAGAGACACCGTCACTACCCTGTGTCTCTGTGGTGTCTCTGTCTCTCTGTGTCTCTGTGTCTCTGTGGTGTCTCTGTGTGTGTCTCTGTGGTGTCTCTGTGGTGTCTCTGTGGTGTCTCTGTGTTTTCTCTGTGGTGTCTCTGTGGTGTCTCTGTGTCTCTGTGGTGTCTCTGTGTTGTCTCTGTGTTGTCTCTGTGTCTCTGTGTCTCTGTGGTGTCTCTGTGTCTCTGTGGTGTCTCTGTGGTGTCTCTGTGGTGTCTCTGTGGTGTCTCTGTGGTGTCTCTGTGGTGTTTCTGTGGTGTCTCTGTGTGTGTCTCTGTGTCTCTATGGTGTCTCTGTGGTGTCTCTGTAGTGTCTCTGTGTTGTGTCTGTGTCTCTGTGGTGTCTCTGTGTCTCTGTGGTGTCTCTGTGTCTCTGTGGTGTCTCTGTGGTGTCTCTGTGGTGTCTCTGTGTTGTCTCTGTGTCTCTGTGGTGTCTCTGTGTCTCTGTGTGTTGGCTGGGTCGCATGCGCTGCCTGGAGGCCCTGGGGGAGTGGTGAGAGACACCGTCACTACCCTGTGTCTCTGTGGTGTCTCTGTCTCTCTGTGTCTCTGTGTCTCTGTGGTGTCTCTGTGTGTGTCTCTGTGGTGTCTCTGTGGTGTCTCTGTGTTGTCTCTGTGTTTTCTCTGTGGTGTCTCTGTGGTGTCTCTGTGTCTCTGTGGTGTCTCTGTGTTGTCTCTGTGGTGTCTCTGTGTCTCTGTGTCTCTGTGGTGTCTCTGTGTCTCTGTGGTGTCTCTGTGGTGTCTCTGTGGTGTCTCTGTGGTGTCTCTGTGGTGTCTCTGTGGTGTTTCTGTGGTGTCTCTGTGTGTGTCTCTGTGTCTCTATGGTGTCTCTGTGGTGTCTCTGTAGTGTCTCTGTGTTGTGTCTGTGTCTCTGTGGTGTCTCTGTGTCTCTGTGTTGTCTCTGTGTCTCTGTGGTGTCTCTGTGGTGTCTCTGTGGTGTCTCTGTGTTGTCTCTGTGTCTCTGTGGTGTCTCTGTGTCTCTGTGTGTTGGCTGGGTCGCATGCGCTGCCTGGAGGCCCTGGGGGAGTGGTGAGAGACACCGTCACTACCCTGTGTCTCTGTGGTGTCTCTGTGGTGTCTCTGTGTTGTCTCTGTGGTGTCTCTGTGGTGTCTCTGTGTGTGTCTCTGTGGTGTCTCTGTGGTGTCTCTGTGGTGTCTCTGTGTTGTCTCTGTGGTGTCTCTGTGGTGTCTCTGTGGTGTCTCTGTGTTGTCTCTGTGGTGTCTCTGTGTCTCTGTGGTGTCTCTGTGGTGTCTCTGTGGTGTCTTTGTGTCTCTGTGGTGTCTCTGTGTTGTCTCTGTGTCTCTGTGTTGTCTCTGTGTTGTCTCTGTGGTGTCTCTGTGTCTCTGTGTTGTCTCTGTGTCTCTGTGTTGTCTCTGTGTCTCTGTGTTGTCTCTGTGTCTCTGTGTTGTCTCTGTGTCTCTGTGTTGTCTCTGTGTCTCTGTGTTGTCTCTGTGGTGTCTCTGTGGTGTCTCTGTGTTGTCTCTGTGGTGTCTCTGTGGTGTCTCTGCGGTGTCTCTGTGTGTTGGCTGGGTCGCATGCGCTGCCTGGAGGCCCTGGGGGAGTGGTGAGAGACACCGTCACTACCCTGTGTCTCTGTGGTGTCTCTGTCTCTCTGTGTCTCTGTGTCTCTGTGGTGTCTCTGTGTGTGTCTCTGTGGTGTCTCTGTGGTGTCTCTGTGTTGTCTCTGTGTTTTCTCTGTGGTGTCTCTGTGGTGTCTCTGTGTCTCTGTGGTGTCTCTGTGTTGTCTCTGTGTTGTCTCTGTGTCTCTGTGTCTCTGTGGTGTCTCTGTGTCTCTGTGGTGTCTCTGTGGTGTCTCTGTGGTGTCTCTGTGGTGTCTCTGTGGTGTCTCTGTGGTGTTTCTGTGGTGTCTCTGTGTGTGTCTCTGTGTCTCTATGGTGTCTCTGTGGTGTCTCTGTAGTGTCTCTGTGTTGTGTCTGTGTCTCTGTGGTGTCTCTGTGTCTCTGTGTTGTCTCTGTGTCTCTGTGGTGTCTCTGTGGTGTCTCTGTGGTGTCTCTGTGTTGTCTCTGTGTCTCTGTGGTGTCTCTGTGTCTCTGTGTGTTGGCTGGGTCGCATGCGCTGCCTGGAGGCCCTGGGGGAGTGGTGAGAGACACCGTCACTACCCTGTGTCTCTGTGGTGTCTCTGTCTCTCTGTGTCTCTGTGTCTCTGTGGTGTCTCTGTGTGTGTCTCTGTGGTGTCTCTGTGGTGTCTCTGTGTTGTCTCTGTGTTTTCTCTGTGGTGTCTCTGTGGTGTCTCTGTGTCTCTGTGGTGTCTCTGTGTTGTCTCTGTGTTGTCTCTGTGTCTCTGT